TAGCCCCTCATGGCCGCAAGATGAAGGGCGATATCCACATCCCTGGAATCCGCGATCGAGGGTCCAAGCAGTACGAGGGCTTGATGGCGGACGTGACGTTGGTCCACCCTTACATTGGTAGCTCTGCCGACCTGACCAAGTGGGGTGAGGTCAACCTCGACGCCCTCCATGGTCCACCCTTTCATTGGTGATGGTGGATTTACTGGCAGAAGGTAAAAAGTGCCTCAAGCAAAACAAAGCAGGATCAAGCTAAACCTCCTGGCACACAGCGCACAGCGACAAGCTGCACAATCACACACAAAACACAAGCCCGAAAAGAACCTGTCTGGTGCGAGGCGCATGACGCCCTTGCGGGCGCAAGCACTTCTCGAGCCAGAGGACAGCTCCTCCTCGGACTTTGTCGAGTCGCCCGAGGAGGAGTCTTCGCCGGAGGTCTCCGACTCCGATGGGGGAAACCCTTCGAGTGGCGCCGACGACCGGCGCGGAGCTGGCGAAGCGCCGTCTCCGTCCCTCACTGTGACGTCGGGTGCCTCCGGAGAGCTCGACACCACTGGGGTGCTTGCTGCTTGTCCGAGCGGCGCCTGCTTCCTCCCCGGCATCGGTCGGGTCCCGCCGGTCCTTGGGCATTGCTGCGACGAGATGGATTGCGGCGTCGCCGCCGTCACGGGCGGTGTTGGTCTCGGCTTCTGCTGACTCGGAGGCTAGCGAGGAGGACTACCTCGAGCGGTACCGTGTTCCTGTGTCCAGCCTCCCTCCGTCCGCTTTGTGGCGGCAGCGGACGTCTCGACTGACAGTGGTCAGTCGGCTGCCTCCGGGTATCGCGTCTAAGGGATTTTATTCCTCCTGCATGCTCCTGCTGCTTGTTGCTTGATTGCTTGACCCTTAGGCTGCTTGTCTGCGCGGCTTCGCGCTTGGGCTGGCGGTGCCGCGTCTGGGTGCCAGCAGTGCTGGTTCTTTTCGGGCTTGTGTTTTGTGTGTGTTTGTGCAGCTTCTCGCTGTGGACTGTGTGCCTGCCGATTCAACTTGATCCTGCTTTGTTTTGCTTGAGGCACTTTTTACCTTCTGCCAGTAAATCCTATACATCCAGTGACACCACTGGGGTGCTTGCTGCTGATCCGAGCTCGCCTGCTTCCTCCCCGGCATCGGTCGGGTCACGCCGGTCCTTGGGCATTGCCGCGGCGTCGCCGCCGTCACGGGCGGCTACCACTGACTCGGCTACCGCTGCCAGGCTCGGAGGCTAGCGAGGAGGACTACCTCGAGCGGTACCGTGTTCCTGTGTCCAGCCTCCCTCCGTCCGCTGCCCCTGGCGGACCCCCGGGCAGCGCCGGCTCCTTGTCGGCGGCTGCCCTTTCTCCGTCCGCGGCCGCCCGCTTTGTGGCGGCAGCGAACGTCTCGACTGATAGTGGTCAGTCGGCTGCCTCCGGGTATCGCGTCTAAGGGATTTTATCCCTTCCTCCTGCATGCTCCTGCTGCTTGTTGCTTGATTGCTTGACCCTTAGGCTGCTTGTCTGCGCGGCTTCGCGCTTGGGCTGGCGGTGCCGCGTCTGGTTGCCAGCAGTGCTGGTTCTTTTCGGGCTTGTGTTTTGTGTGTGATTGTGCAGCTTCTCGCTGTGGACTGTGTGCCTGCCGGTTCAGCTTGATCCTGCTTTGTTTTGCTTGTGTGTGTTTGTGCAGCTTCTCGCTGTGGACTGTGTGCCTGCCGGTTCAGCTTGTTCCTGCTTTGTTTTGCTTGAGGCACTTTTTATCTTCTGCCAGTAAATCCTATATCTTGAGGCACTTTTTACCTTCTGCCAGTAAATGCTATACCTCGCTTCATCTGGTATCTGGCGGACATCATTGCTCAGCGCTCGATGCCTCTTGAGGATGCGCCGCTTGGTCGGCACTTCGTGCCTGATGATGGACCTGCTGCTGAGGTCTTGGCTCGCAAACGCGCCGCCACCTATCAGCTTTTACCTTCTGCCAGTAAATCCTATACTCTACCTCAGCGCTTCACCATGCAGCTGACGCTTGAGGCGCTCTTGTCTGGTGCGAGGCGCATAACTGCTGAGGTCCTGGCTCGCAAACGCGCCGCCACCTATCAGCGCCTCACTATGTAGCTGACGCTGGAGGCGCTCTTGTCTGGTGCGAGGCGCATGACGCCCTTGCGGGCGCAAGCACTTCTCGAGCCAGAGGACAGCTCCTCCTCGGACTTTGTCGAGTCGCCCGAGGAGGAGTCTTCGCCGGAGGTCTCCGACTCCGATGGGGGAAACACGTCGAGTGGCGCCGACGATCGGCGCGGAGCTGGCGAGGCGTCTCCGTCCCTCACTGTGACGTCGGGTGCCTCCGGAGAGCTCGACACCACTGGGGTGCTTGCTGCTTGTCCGAGCGGCGCCTGCTTCCTCCCCGGCATCGGTCGGGTCCCGCCGGTCCTTGGGCATTGCTGCGGCGTCGCCGCCGTCACGGGCGGCTACCGCTGACTCGGCTACCGCTGACTCGGAGGCTAGCGAGGAGGACTACCTCGAGCGGTACCGTGTTCCTGTGTCCAGCCTCCCTCCGTCCGCTGCCCCAGGCGGACCCCCGGGCAACGCCGGCTCCTTGTCGGCGGCTGCCCTTTCTCCGTCCGCGGCCGCCTGCTTTGTGGCGGCAGCGGACGTCTCGACTGACAGTGGTCAGTCGGCTGCCTCCGGGTATCGCGTCTGAGGGATTTTATTCCTCCTGCATGCTCCTGCTGCTTGTTGCTTGATTGCTTGACCCTTAGGCTGCTTGTCTGCGCGGCTTCGCGCTTGGGCTGGCGGTGCCGCGTCTGGTTGCCAGCAGTGCTGGTTCTTTTCGGGCTTGTGTTTTGTGTGTGATTGTGCAGCTTCTCGCTGTGCCACGGTGCGCTGTGTGCCAGGAGGTTTAGCTTGATCCTGCTTTGTTTTGCTTGAGGCACTTTTTACCTTCTGCCAGTAAATCCATTATCTCACTGTGACGTCGGGTGCCTCCGGAGAGCTCGACACCACTGGGCCGGGGGTGCTTGCTGCTTGTCCGAGCGGCGCCTGCTTCCTCCGCGGAATCGGTCGGGTCCCGCCGGTCCTTGGGCATTGCCGCGGCGTCGCCGCCGTCACGGGCGGTGTTGGTCTCGGCTGCCGCTGACTGACTCGGAGGCTAGCGAGGAGGACTACCTCGAGCGGTACCGTGTTCCTGTGTCCAGCCTCCCTCCGTCCGCTGCCGCCCCAGGCGGACCCCCGGGCAGCGCCGGCTCCTTGTCGGCGGCTGCCCTTTCTCCGTCCGCGGCCACCCGCTTTGTGGCGGCAGCGGACGTCTCGACTGACAGTGGTCAGTCGGCTGCCTCCGGGTATCGCGTCTAAGGGATTTTATTCCTCCTGCATGCTCCTGCTGCTTGTTGCTTGATTGCTTGACCCTTAGGCTGCTTGTCTGCGCGGCTTCGCGCTTGGGCTGGCGCTGCCGCGTCTGGGTGCCAGCAGTGCTGGTTCTTTTCGGGCTTGTGTTTTGTGTGTGATTGTGCAGCTTCTCGCTGTGCGCTGTGTGCCTGGAGGTTTAGCTTGATCCTGCTTTGTTTTGCTTGAGGCACTTTTTACCTTCTGCCAGTAAATCCGTATCCAGGCCTCCGAGTCAGCAGTAGCAGTAGCCGAGACCAACACCGCCCGTGACAGCGGCGTCGCCGCAGCAATGGCGGGCCAAGGACCGGCCGGGTGTGACCCGACCGATGCCGGGGAGGAAGCAGGCGAGCTCGGACCAGCAGCAAGCACCCCAGTGGTGTCGAGCTCAGTCTCCGGAGGCACCCGACGCCGTCACAGTGAGGGACGGAGACGCCTCGCCAGCTCCGCGCCGGTCGTCGGCGCCACTCGAAGGGTTTCCCCCATCGGAGTCGGAGACCTCCGGCGAAGACTCCCCCTCGGGCGACTCGACAAAGTCCGAGGAGGAGCTGTCCTCTGGCTCGAGAAGTGCTTGCGCGCGCAAGGGCGTCATGCGCCTCGCACCAGATAGGAGCGCCTCCAGCGTCAGCTGCATGGTGAGGCGCTGATAGGTGGCGGCGCGTTTGCGAGCCAAGACCTGAGCAGCAGGTCCATCATCAGGCACGAAGTGCCGACCAAACGCCGCATGAGACGTCGGATGCCTCCGGAGAGCTCGACAGTAAACATTCCAGCACTGCTGGCAACTGTCAGAAGACTCACCCGGCATCGCCAGCCCACGCGCGAAGCCGCGAACACAAGCAGGGAGGGTGAGAGAATGAATACTCGCATAAGGTAAAAGTGCCTCAAGCAAATAAGCAGGAACAAGCTAAACCTGCACTGCACTGCGGCATGCACACAGCGCACAGCGAGAAGCTGCACAAACAATTACAACAACAAAAGACCAAAAGTAACCAGCACTGCTGGCAACCGTCAGCAGACCCGGGACCGCCAGCCCACGCGCGAAGCCGCGCAGTCTGTAGGAGGGGTAACTTATCACAAGAGCAGCACTGCGGGAGGGGACGTCCGAGATGAAACCCCCTGAGGCCGCGGGCCGCTCGGACCTTGTCGAGACGGTCCGACGCCCGGCGACTGAGTCGGAAGTCTGCGCCGGAGAGGAGGAACAAGCTAAACCTGGAGCGGTACCGACACTACTGAGTAACCCACGGTAGTAACCGAACAGTGACAATCGGGCGGCCGGGCCGGCCGGGGCCCGGCCCGGCCCGGGCCACTGGGCCGTGCGTGACGGTGACTGGTCACTGAGTCACGGTTACGACCGCGGCCGCTCGGAGCTCGGACCACTGCCGCTGAGCTGCGAGGTCCAGCTCCACTCTTATCGGAGGGCCCGGCACTGCAGTGCGGCAGACCCGGGCCCGTACCGTCCACTGCCAGGCCCCTGAGGCGGGCCGCCCGGATGTACGTCGGTGGAGGATCGCTTGTTCAACACTTCACAAAAAAATTAAAAAGAATTGTTTTAAGGAGCGCAGTGGTCATGGTGCGAAGCTTGCGTGTGGCGCTGCTTCTCCCTCTCCTCATGCTGCAAGAAGCGACTTGCTTCGCTCCTCCTTCCCTTCTTGCTCCCTCCTCTCCCAAGCTCACTGCCTCCTCTCCCAAGCTCACTGCCTCCCCTCGCTTCCCCCGCGCCACATCGCATCGGCTCTGCGAGATGTCAGTCAGCGAGTACGAGACTCTGAAGGGGTTGAGAGTGAAGAACGTCAAGACATGTGAAGGTGCCGACATCGTCTCTCCGTCAGGCCGCCGCCTCCTCGTCTTCCTGGTGAGCAGTCACGAGCACGAGAAATACCTGAGAATCATTCAGACGCACTTCGGGGACCTCTCGTCTTGGGAGTACGCAAGACAGCTTCTGCACTACATGCCTCTCCTCCACTCGCGAGGTGTTGGATCTTCAGGCTGTTGTCCGCCAGCGTGTCAGTCATACGCATGCAGGAGTCAAGGTGATGGCGATCGGCATAGGCAGTCAAGAGGCTGGGAAGAAGTTCGCGGATCAGCTCAAGTTTCCAGAGGAGCTCCTCTTCTTCGACCCCGACGCCTCCTGTGCGGCTGAGCTTGGTTTCAGCGCTGGGTTCGGAAGAAGCTCAGGTGAAAGCGCATGCAGTCATGCAAGTCTGACGTCAAGCAGCACGAGACGCACAGTCGAACCCTCTATCACCTTATCTTCGTCTCCTCCCCATGCTCCTTGGCATCGGTGACTTTCTCGTCCTCGTCTTCCGTGTCTCATCAGCTTCGCAGGGTCTCCCGGAACCCTCGGGCGGGTAGCGCAAGGGCGTGTCGAGACTGAGGGGATGACGGCGAGCATGGCAGGTGATCTACGGCTACTTCGGCGACCGAGGCTACGATCCTAAATGGACAGTCTCACACCTAAGAGACTTTGCGACTGGAAGCTTCCCCTTCGTCGAGCCGGTGAGGGGCGGGGAGCAGCAGTCTGGAGCCTCACAGTTGTGCTTGTAGGAGCTCTTTGATAGGCTGGGCTCAGGTTATCTCCGCCCCTTCGAGCTCGCCACAGTTCGTCTTCAGGTTTTCACTTCCTCATCGTGCAAACGACGAGTGACGCTCCTGTGCTAGAACATGATCGGCATCTTGGAGCAGTGGAACGAGCTGATCCCTGAGAACCAGGTGCTGCTCAAGTCGCAGGCTCCCTGTTCCTCATGCTTTGCCAGGATCTCGTCGTACAGCAAGGAGGAACGATCGTGATGGAAGGCGACCAGACCATGTGAGTTGAGAAGCCGCTCGTGTTCTCAATACTTGAGTTGCTCCTGGACTGACTGCTGGGTGTTGCAGATACAGATTTGACGACAGAGGCATTCTCGTCTACGCGGGAGAGCGAGGGGTCGCCTCGGTCCCGCAGGTGATCGAGAAGGCGCTAGGAGAGAAGCTGTGATGCGGCTCGTGTCAGTGCGAGTTCAGCCGCATCAGAGGGCAAGGACAGGCGTTAGTTTCTTGTGCTCCTGCTCATTGAGAGTGAAGCTAAACATGTTCTGCCATCTCTCTTTCACTCCCTTCCCTCCCGCCTGGCGCCCTGCCAGGCTTTCAGTGTTCAACCGGGCATGCTTAAGGGCCTGTCACCTAATCAGTGTCTTGTCTGCCAGTCCGACAAGCTGGTCTGGTACCGCGTTTAGTGACAGTCAGGTCTGCACTGCCTGGCACTATCTGACTGGCATCAGTGTTTCTCGGAGGGCTCCGCGCGTCAAGTTCCGTAAGTCTTAGCCTGTAGAACCCTCAGCGACAGTGGCTCTGACGGCGGCGTGACAGTCTGTCGGACTGGCCGGGCCGCCTTGAAGCCTCGGAAGGCTGACTCGAGTGACGGCGGGACCGGGTCCGGTCGCCGCCGGGGCCGCGGCCGGTTTCAAAACCGTAACGGCCTCGGGACAACGATCTGTAACCGATGTCCGTTATCGGTTGAGGCATGGCGACAGAGAAAATGGCGCAGGAAGCGGTGGGGGCGCTAGGAGGAGGAGAGGAGAGCGTGATAGAGCATCTGTCTCAGGTTCTGGCTGTTGCTGCACTTGAACATGAAGAAAATGCGACAGAGAAGTTCATGGAGTTAAGTCGCTCAGTTCTCGAATCCACTCTGAGATGGAGGAAGGAGGGAGCGTCGCTTGGGCAAGAGCTGAGCGACGTGATCAGCATCCGTGATCTCTTCAAGACACCCAAGAGCTCAGTTGACTTCTCCAGCGGAATCCTCAAGGAAAACATCTACGAGCGTGTCACTGATACTTACGTCCCAGACGTCGCAGCAGAGGCGCAGCTGCTTCAATGGGCTGGGATATGCATCGGGGAGGTAGAAACCCAGAAAGTGATGCTAGCGATGAGGAGGCTTGCAGCAGAGCATCCAGAGCTCAAGATGGTTCGTTTCTTCGGAAAGATGCTGGGGACGCGAGGCGATTACTACATATGTGAAGGCGAGATGACATGCCCCGATGAGATGGCGCCGAGGGGGCTCAAGCCCAACGATCCGAGGAGGAGGAGCATCGAGAAAGCGATTCATCACAACAAGCTCAAGTACTTTGTGTGCAGCTACCCCGGAGCGACGTGGACAACTCTCCCTAACGTCAACCTCGAGCAGCTGCAAGCAGTCGGCTCGATCAAGAAGCTCTTGACTGGAGACCTTCACGCCGCGTGCGCGAGCTATCCTCCGTTTCCCGGCGAGACTGAGGCCGAGTACCTTCGCGCCAAGATTGCATGGATTGGAATCAACACGATCTTGTCACCAGCAGGATTCTATAAGGAAGTCCCCGCAGACCTCGAGAGCTCGCCTCGTCAACCCGACAACATCATTCAGCACGAGGGCTCGTGGAGTCCCTTCGAAGACGAGGCTCAGGCCCGCAGCATCGGCTCATGGGCGAGACACTATCCTCCTCTCCCCGACGATGACAACTTCCCGGATGACTTCGGCCCTGATGAGGAGGGCAACTGGCCTGTGATTGACCCCGAGCCTTATCCCATCCGCCCCCTCGACCCTGCGGTGGAGGACGAAAAGTGGTTCTCTCGCAGTTGCGCCGCTCAGTGCAAGAGATACGCGCCCGTGGCTCTCTACAGCATCGAGTTCCCCGGCGCTGTCATGGTGTCTAAGGGCGCAAGGTTCTACGCCTTGTACATCGGGTGGGGCAACTCTGAGAACTTCCACCTGCACACCCCAAAATACGCGCCAGGGCTCATCATGCCTCCTGTCAACTCAGACGTCATCTACACGGTCAAGGAAGAGCCTGTCAAGACCACCGATGAGAACGGGAACGTGGTTGAGCAGCCAGTGGAAGTTCCTCCTCCCTACCCGCAGGAGGGTTGGAAGCACTTCAACGAAGAGCAGATGGACTTGCGGGACAAGTTCCAGCTGGAGTGGGAGCTTGAAAATCAGCAGAGGGAACAGAGGATGCTGGAAGCCCAAGACGCAGAGGCAGCAGAGGCGGCAGAGGCGGATTGAAGGTGCAGTGAGGAGGAGGTTCAATCAGTGTAGAAGAGGTGTCAACAAATCGCCTCCATGCGCTCCTTCATCAGCGATCGAGCTTCTCTCCCAGACATCTCTTGAATCTCCCCGTCGGCAACAAAGATGGCGTAGTCGGACATGCTGTTGGATATCCAGAAGAAGTCTCCGCGAGGGGTGAGGATAAGGGACGAGAAGTAAAACTTGTTGCGCAGGAGGATGAACCCAGTCGTCCCCTCCACCGTCCAGTCACCCAGCGACTGCTGCAGCTCGTCGGGTTGCCTGGGACGAGCGTCAGCTCTCGCGCTCCTCCTCCGCATCCTCACCCTTCTTTCATCAGCAAATCTACTTCAGTGAAGCCCGCGAGGAAGCCCGACTAGCGCACGCGTCACCTTCTGCCCCTCGGAGCGACAAGGGACTTACCGGCTCCTCCTTCAACGCTTGTCCGTCTGCCACTGAGTGAACCATGCTGGATCCTGCGGAGAATCTGATGCCTCCATCTCCGTACTCGTGACTGATCTGAGGGAGCTCGTAAATCACAGCACAGAGGCGCCCCCGCCCATCACCTCGATCAGGTTGGAGGTCCCCGCATGGAAGAAAAGCGTCAAACTGTCTCCTGCGCGCACCTCACATGGCTCCCATCACTTGCCTCTGATCCTCATCCCCTCACCATCCTCATCTTCGCAGTGCTTGTCACCCAGACTGGCAGAGCCTCGCTATGGGACAGCGTGAGCGATATGAAAGGAGAGACGAGGTTCGGAAAGAAAGAGAGTGGTGAAGAGCGGGATCGAGAGGAGGAAGATGGGAAGGTGTTGGAGAGGAGGAGGCAGCGAGAACGAGCGACAGAGATAAGAGGCAGGCATGGGACCTTGAAGAGTCAAGACTCCTGCCTCCCCGAAGACCCTCGATGATACGAGGAGAACGAGACGTGAAGGAAGTGGGAGCAAGCGAGAGGCCGCCGAGGGCTTGTACGAGATGCACAGGGGTAAGGAGGGAGAGGAGGAGGAGGAGGCAGACGGAGGAGATGTTCATGGCGCTGGAGGAGAGAGGTGAGGTAGGGGGTACACGCGCTACTCGCTCAAGCAAGGGAGCCTCGAATCCACTGATGGTGGGATGCAAAGGCTTCACGGGAATAGGGGGTAGGGGTGATTATTGAACCCGTAATTTGAACTCTACTCTGACGGACCGAGTAGGTAGGGTGGGTGCATTTGAGTGGGTGGGTACAGGACTCCATAAAACCCGATGGAGGAGGAAGAGCGAGGGGAAGGGGGCGAGCAGAGGAGGAAGAGAAACTTGATGGATGCGGCAGGGGGAGGGGAAGGCAAGGCGATGAGTTCACGTCGTTTCAGTCGCAGGATGATTGTAAGATACATTAGCTTAAGATTCCTACACTTCAGTTGCGGCCGAACATGTCGAGGATGAAGAGGAAGAGGCTGCATGGAGTCATGCAAGCAGACAAAGGGGATCTGAGAGGCTCACTTGATGATGTCCAGGTACAGGTCGATGACGGCCAGGATGTAGTCGTCCGGGCCGAGTCTCGCCATGATCTGCCAGGTGTCGTAGATGATCCAGCCACTCATCAGCAGAGCTCCAAACCTTGCCAGGATGTCAGTCATCCGCGACAGACGCGAGTCAACCTACGCCCCGTAGACGAAGGACGCGTGAAACCCGAACAGCATGTTGCAAAGACCCCAAACCTGAAGGAGCACAAGCTCAGAGCCTCCCAGTCTTCAGGCTCGTCTCACCATCATCACGATAGTTCCTACGAACAGGAAGAGCCACATCCCACTTGCCGCCAGTCAGTCTCGCCTCCTCCTCCTCCTCCTCTCCTCCACCTGAAGTCCCATCGGGTGAGGAAGACGAAGGCGGTCAAAGCCGCGAAGATGCCGAAGGTTGTCGCCCACGCAAGCAGGACGCTGGCAAAGCATCACAGGGAGCGTAGGAGGGAGTCGCTCACATGTTTCCGACGCCTCCAGCCTGGTACAGCGCGCAGATCGTGGCGACCATCCAAGACTCGATGACCTGCTCGAGTCAGAGGGGGAGGGTTGGAGGAGCCAGGACCGTGAAGACGGCGAGGAGGATCAGGTTGGTAGGATAGGAACTCTGACAAGTCGTCAGCCTCAGACGCGCGACGGTCGCTGGGTCACCTTGTTGTAGATGAGGGCGATGAGGCAGATGAAGCTGCCGATCATGGCGACCTGGCAGCGGATGAGGGACAAGCTCAAGTCGCCCCGGCAGACTCACGAGGAGCGGCCAGAACCCGATGCCGATCATGAGGGAGTTGACCGGCGTGACGAACCTGAGAGCAGGTGAGCGGAGGCGAAAGCCTGCCTCAGCTCCATCTCACATGGCGCCGGCACAGCACGCAGCAGTGAACGCTAGCTGGAGGGAGAGGATACTGTAGACCTTGATGATGAACCCTCGCTTCGCCTCTGCCTCCCACTCCGGCGCTCCTCTCTTCTGCTCGTGCATGAGCATGGTACGAGTCAAAGCAGCACTCACCTGCACCGCCTCATACGGCCCTGGCTCGTTCTTGGGGATGCTGCCATAGACCGAAGAAGCCATGGCTTCTACCAACCTTCCGTACCGACGTCCAAGTCTGGGAACAACACAGCAAAGGGCCAAGGACAAGACGGCAGCAGTTGTTCTGTCAACAAAACATGAGTTGAGAACGGTCTATCTCCTCTGATCCTTCTGATATCATATCATCATATCACAACCAATGTGCTTTTCGTCTTGCATGGGTGTTTGCCTTGAATGAATATGATGTGACCAGGTCAGGGATATTCTAATGCCAGCCAATTCTGTAATCTCCTCTTGTCGCGGAGGTCGATTCGATTTCGCTGTTTGTATCTGCCAACATGGTATCTCATCCTCATCACTTTCCCATCGCTCCTCTCGTTGCTTCAAGTACTTGCATATCTCCACTCTCATACGCCTCTGTCTTCTCTTGTCTTCTCCTTGCTCCTCCTCTGCACCCCTTGTCCTCTCCTTTTGCTTGTCCTCATCCTCCGCCATCGTACCTCCCTCCCTAAATAGCAACACGAGGACAGCAGTTCCATTGTTATGATTCTTTTGTTTTCGTGATGTCGCTGTCCTCAATGATCTCTAATTGAAACATCTGAAGTCAACCCGGTAAAATCTGTAGGGGGTAGGGGTGGAAGCATTAGATAAGAAGGGGTATTCGGATGGGTGGTAAAGGTTGGGGGTAGGGTGATCCAGTGACGCTATAACGGGAGTGCAATGTTCGACAAGTTGTGGCGAAACAAGGTGAGGAGAGAGAAGAGAGAAGAGAGAAGAGAGAAGAGAGAAGAGAGAAGAGAGAAGGGAGAAAAGAGAAGAGAGAAGAGAAGGGAGAAGGGAGAAGGGAAGAGAGAAGGGAGAAGGGAGAAGAGAAGAGAGAAGAGAGAAGGGAGAAGAGAGAAGAGAGAAGAGAAGAGAGAAGGGAGAAGGGAGAAGGGAAGAGAGAAGGGAGAAGGGAGAAGAGAAGAGAGAAGGGAGAAGGGAGAAGAGAGAAGAGAGAAGAGAAGGGAGAAGGGAGAAGGGAGAAGGGAGAAGGGAGAAGGGAGAAGGGAGAAGGGAGAAGGGAGAAGGGAGAAGGGAGAAGGGAGAAGGGAGAAGCGAGGAGCGAGGAGCGAGGAGCGAGGAGCGAGGAGCGAGGAGAGAGGAGAGAGGAGAGAGGAGAGAGGAGAGAGGAGAGAGAAGAGGAGTGGAGGTAAAGGTAAAGGAGAAAGGAAAGAGGGAGTCTATCATGAAACTCTTGTAACTCAAGACAAGGCAATCGGTCATCTTAGTTGAAATGAATCCGGATGTATGCAAGAGGATCAGGACAGCAAGTAGAGACGCGAAGCTCGTAGGCGAGGGGGATCTTTGCTTGCTGATCGTTTGAATGTTGTCATGGACAGGAGGACCAAACCGCTAGCTCGAGACAGGCTGGCCGCCCTCAGACCTCAGAGCTTCTGCAGACAAAGCTGCTGCCGTATGGCATGCTCTCTCGCCCGACGAGACACTTCTTCAGTGACGGTAGCTGATGATGGAGGAGACGAGGGTTGACTGAGACTCGGATAGGCGACGGTCTGTGGGGAGAGCACAATCCTCACTTCGGTTCTTCCAAGGATGGAGACTCGCGATGGTGAGAGAGAAGAACCTCTTGCTGTAAAATCTTCGTGTACAAAATGAGAAATGTCTGCAAAGCTATGCGAGGAGAGGTAATAGGGGGTGATGGGATGGAAGGAGAGGAGAGGAGAGGTCGCTTTCCCCGCTGTCCTGCTGCCTCCTTCACTCTCCTTCAGATGCCGAATCCTCATGGTAGCTGACGCTCGAGGGATTCCGCAGTCGCAAGATCATCCCCCTTCCTCCTCCTCCTCCTCCTCTCTCTCCATTCGTCTTCCTGCTGCTTCGGCGGCCTCGATTGTGAACTGTCATATCTTCCTCCGAGTCTTCACTGTACCTCCTCGCCCGCTTTCGTTTCCTCGGCTCTTCCTCTTCGCTCTCTTCGCTCTCCTCGCTCGAGCTCGGGGCTGACCTTGTTTCCCTTCTTCCCTCCCGTCGCTGTCGTCTGCCGTTGCCTCCTCCTCGTCCCACCGCCTCTGCTACTCGTCTCTGAGCGAGTAAGGCGATGGCTCCTCGAAGGAACTCGATCGCCGTCTGATAGTAGACGCTGTCTGGCGGGTTGAACAAGCAGCAGTTGACACCGATGAGCAAGGAGTCAAGTAGCAGCAGCTCGCGTCGCTGGTACCTGTCCACATTTCAACGACGGCAGCTCCCCCCTCTCCCCTCCCTCACCTTCCATGCTCGGCTTGCTGCCTCATCGTCTGCAGGTCCATCGGCAGGCTGATCACCTCCCGGTAGGAGGGAACCTCGAGCAAGCTGACGGGGAGGAGGAAGACCTTGAGCTTGTCGAGCTCCTCCAGCTGTCGGAGCAGAGACTCGGTTTCTTGGCTGAGGCCCTCGGGACTCGCTCGGGACTCCAGCATGACGTTCCACTCTCGTACCTGATCTGCGAGCACCTTGATCCCCTTCCCACCCACTGACAGCGCTAAGGACGCGACCTTGCTGCCAGGCTCGTTGTAGATGAGCGCGTTGGCGAGGAGGAGGAGGAAGTCGGAGAAGAAGAGCAGCGGCTCTTGGTCGTAGCTGGACTCCTCCAGCTTTCTGCCCATGTCGTCGAAGCAGATGGGCGAGAGGATAAGCTTGCTGTAACCGGGAGCTATCTCGTCTGTCACCGCGTGGTGGAACACACGGTGCTTGTCCAACCCCTTCAACTTCATCAGCTGCTTCACCAGCAGCTCTCGCCGTGCCAAGCTTGAGGAGCCTTCTTCCATGTCAGGAGCGCGGGAGGAGGAGGAGGAGGAGGCAGCGAGCAGGTTGGGAGAGGAGCTTTCAAGCTTGATGTGCTTCAAGTTCAGCTTGATCTTCAGCGGTGACCGCTCGCTCCGGGAGGACGCGACGAGAGGTAGCAAGTCGCGCTGACTTGCTACCTCGTTGCTGCTGCTTCCCTGAGCTGCTCCTCCCTCTCCCCCCCCGTCGTCGCTGCCACCTCCTTCTTCTGCTCTCTTCGGCTTGGGATCTTCACTTCCTCAAGCATCTTCCTCGCTGCGGACTCGAGGGCGTTGCCATGCTCGGCGCGACAGGCTTGATCGCAGAGGCAGTGGGACAGGAAGAGTGTGACCTGCATGCTTGCCTGGGAGACAGAGGCAGCGACAAGCTCATCCTCCAGCTCCTGCACGCTTATCCCTGCGTATGTCTCATCCCCTTCTGCCACAGGTGGGGAGGTGCTGAGGGAGCCGCCGCGTTCTCGAATGGCAGACAAGACTTTCTGCCAGCTCCCCTCCTCCATCGCTTCTTCTCTCCCCTCCACTTCCTCCTCTCCGCTCTGCAGTGACCTCGCCCGATGCACCAGCACACATGCGTCACGCAGCATGCTGCTGGCGTCTTCACGTTCATCCTTCTCCCGCAGGAAAATCGCCAGGCAACCACGAAGCAGCAGGACACAAGCTTCCTGCAGGCTGGCAAACGACCCGAAGAGCAGCCGATGCTTCATGTCCCAGCTCTCCCGCGCCAACTTCTGACTCTCCTCCGCTTCGTCCAGCTCCATCCCACCTCCACCGATCAGCCGCGCGTGCTTCCCTTCGAAGCTCGTCCACATGGCTCTCAGCGAGATCTTCCAGTGCCCTTCGCCGCACATCTTGACCAGGTAGCCTCCCTCCCACGCCTGCCACGTGCCATCTCCTTCCACCATCGCCTCCACTCCCTCCCCCACCATCTGCGAGCACAGCAGCTTCGGGTCCCCCGGCGTCAAGAAGAGCCCAGCATTGCGGACGAGGCAGTGCAGGTCGTGGAGGAGCGCTTCCTTCCTGCGGTAGAAGCACTTCCTCAGTCGGCTGCTAATGATGTTGAGGCTGACGGGCAGCGGGACCCGCGACCAGACCAGCTCATCCTCACACCCCAGGAAGGGCTCAGCTGCCTCCGCCCTCATGAAGCCCTCGAGCAGGCGAGAGATCCGCAGCCGCTCAGCGTCGGAGAAGGAGGAGGAGATGCGAGGAGAGGAGCTCTCTTCCCCGATCGGCATGATCTCCCAGGGCGAAACGCTCTCAAAGTCGTTCTTCTCCCCCTCCTCCTCCCGCTGCTCGCCGTCCCATTGCACCCTCAGGCACTGCCAGGGGCTGTCGGGAAAGTCTCGAGGATGGAAGGGCTCAATCCCCCGCACGGTCCCCGTGTAGGGAGTCTCCACATCCTCGAAGCGCATCTGGAACTTGTCGCCGATACCGAAGACGGCGGAGTGGCGCTGGAAGCGATAGAGGGGGATGACGAACTCGGGCATGTGGGTCTTGCGGAAGCTGACGATGAAGGTCTGCAGGGCGATGTCTTCCTCCGGCTCCTTCGCCTCCACGTCTCCGTCCTCAAAGTGCACGCGGTACGTCCTGTCGCCATGGTAGGCTTCGATCACCCCGTTGAACCGTGTTCCTCGCTTCCACCTCGCCTTGACCGGCTGCCCCACGGCGAACTTCTGAGAGCTCGAGCTCTTCTCCACGCTCAGCGGCATCCGGGCGAGGCTGAGAAGGCAGTAGATTGAGTTCTCAGCCTCCTCGTTGGCGGCGGGGAACATGTACTTGATGTCGACTATCTCGCAGTGCTCTGCTGCCTTCATATCTGGGTACTCCTCCCACGGCAGGTACGACCGCTGGCACTGCGCCTCCGGGAACTGACACAGCTGCTCCTCATGCCCCTGCCTGAAGTAGACGACAGCATCTCCCACCTGCGGCACGTACGTCGTGTCCACATTCTGCGGAGGCTCCACCGCTAGCAGCCAATCTCGCGATCTCGCCGCGTTCTTGGCGAGCTCATGCGAGCTGTACCCTCGCCGCCTCATCGCCTGCTCGGGCTGCCAACCTGACTTGATGAAGTCACGAGAAACCTTCGCCTTGGGGAGGACAAAGAGCTCCGAGTCCGACAGCTCCTCTCCGTCCTCCATCTCCTCCCCATCCCCCCCCTGCATCTTGTTCTGACTTCGCCTCTGCGCTCGGCTTGCCCGCTGCTCCCGCTGCTCGCGAGACCTCTTCAGCTTTCGCTTGCTCTCCTTCGAGTCCAGGTGAAAGTCTCTGTCGAGACTAGCGTCCTCCTCCTCACTCTCTGAATCCTCCGCGCTCAAGCTGCCTGGAGAGAATTCGCGCTCGTTGGGGTCGTCGGAGTGATGGAAGAGGAGGAGGTCGTCCTCGAGGATCTCGTCGGGCAGGTGCACGTAGGTGGGGACGGCCAAGGAGGACAAGCTTGCTGCCTGACTCATCCACGTCGCCTGCCCCTCCATCCCCGCGTTCACATTGCCGAAGCGATCGCAGAGGCAGCCGGGGGGCAGGAGGTGAGGAGGAACCTGAGCTTGCAGGTCGATCACGTTGTGCTGGACGTCCATGGAGAGCTCGCCGAAGTCGGTCTGAAAGAACTGCTCTCGAGCTGTTCGCGCGAGGTTCTCGCTGTAGTTTCCACAGGTGAGGATGGAGAAGTGGCCGTTCTTGTGGGTGAGCACCAGCGAGGTCCCGTCGGGGTGCCACTTTCCCTCGAGGATGTCCGATGTACGTGCGTCGAAGTCGATGGGGCTCAGTCGATCGTCCAAGGGGAAGCGAATGTGAAACTCTTTGATGGCCTTCCCTCCCACGATGTCCCACAGCACGACTCGCGCGTCGTATCCTGCCGTCGCCATCACGCGAGGGTCGGAGGGATGGGCCTCCACTACGAACACTGGCTGCTCGTGCGCATCCCTGAGGTTGTGGATCAGTTCTCCCGTGTCGACCGCCCAGATCTTGATCCTGCAAAGCCACTTGTTGTCTTTGCGCTTCTTCTCCAGCGACTGAGAGCTGATGACCTTGGAGCCGTCGGAGGACAGGCTCACCATGTTCACCTTCACTCGCTCCACCGAGCGGCCCGTCTGCTGCTCCTCTCCCTGTCGCAGGTTGAGGATCCGCTGATCCACCAGCGTCAGAAACTTGTCGGTGCGCCAGATCCGCACGGTTCCGTCGAGCGACCCAGACACGATGAGGTTGCCGGAGGCGTTGCTGGTGATGTACTCCACGCGGTCCATGTGGCCGTTCCAGCGGATGGGGCGAGAGATCTTGGAGTTGAGGAGGTAGATACGGATCATCCGGTCCGAGCACCCGACAGCCACCCAGCTTCCCCACCGATGGATCGTCGCGCAGAGGATCTCCGGGGCCTTGCGAGGAGGGTGAGGGCCGGGGGGCACCTGAGCCTCAGACGTCAGGAAGACTCGGGAGGAGAAGGAGGAGCCGTCGGAGGAGATCTTCCATTCCCTCAGCGCGCCATCGTGACCCCACGAGTAGAGCGACTGCGACAGGTCCGCGTGCATCGCCCAAGAGAACCGAACGTTTGCTATCACCTGCTGATGCCCTGGGAGGACGAAGGCAGGGACGCCGTTGTGCAGCCACCAGATCCGCACGTCCAGGTCGTTTCCAGCTGAGGCGAGGAAGCGGTTGTCGCAGGAGACAGACAAGTCGACTATGTCGCTCACGTGCCCCCTCATCGTCCTCACCAGGCAGCAAGTCCTCGAGTTCCACACCTTGATCAGCTTGTCGTCGGAGCCCGTCACGAAGAGGCGGCCGGTCTTGTCGAACACGAGGCAGTAGACGGCACAGAAGTGACCCATCACTCTCGCCTGCAGCTCCAGATGCTGGTAGAAGTGCGGCCTCCACATCCCCCTCACGCTGAACCTGTTCCCCATCTCCCTCCCCTGCAACTGGATCAGCTCGTTCGCAACGGTCCGGCTCCTCAAGAAGTTTCCGTGCGCTCTGCAGGAGGGCATAGGGGAGTCTGTGCGCTGTGGCTTGCGGAAGAGCGTGGGAGGAAGGAGGCCTTGCTGGGGGGTGAGCGAGGAGAGGGTGAAGGAGAGCAGGTGTTGGAGGTGGGAAGAGCCCACATGAGGAGCGAGTCTGCACATGTCTCGGAACGAGGCAAACCTCCTCGTGCCTGTCCAGCTCACAGTCTCACCGAACACTCCCAGCCTGTTCGCCTCCTGCTCCAGAGCTGCGGCTGCCTGCTGGCACGGGGATCCTCGGAGGGCATGGAGCATGAGAAAGATCATTTCTCCTTGCATCTGCTGCTGCTGAAAGGAGGCCAAAGGCTCCTGCTCCTGCTCCTCCATTCTGCTCCTCTCCCTCCATTGCTGCTGCTGCTGCTGCTGCTGCTGCTGCTCTTCCATGGGCTCCATCAACCTTGCCAAACCCGATCTCCTCATTTCACCATCGTTGGTAGGAAGGGAACCATCGGAGGGTGGGGTGATGTGAGGTTCCAACCAGGGGTAGTGTCCTACACTTTGTACCAGAGGGTGGGTATTTCAAATATATTCGAGGAAGAGAGAAAAGGAGGGGTACATGTAGGTATTTACAGGGGTGGTTGGGGTCTTGAGTAATATGAACTGGGGTAGCAATGCTGATTGTAACGAGCCACAACGATCATAACGGAATGAAACCGTCAAAATGCTCCATGAAGCTGTTGTCATGATGATGGTGTTGACGTTCTTGTACATGGGAAGCAGGTGGGGAGGAGGAGGAGGAGGAGGAGGAGGAGGAGGAGGAGGAGGAGGAGGAGGAGGAGAGAGGGAGGATGGATGAGGGGGATGAAAGCTGCGAGGGAAGAGGGATCTTGTTATGTCTAGGATGACTTGCTTGTTTGGGGCAGGATGTTTCGTAGAGCCATCGCAAGTCAAGAGCTCACAAGCATGGGCTCGACCCAGCGCAAGAGCTATGGCGCCAGTGCCTCCAGCAGCAGCGTCGTGTGACGCACTCAGAGATGGTCTGCAGTTTCTTGAAGCCTCGTGACTGCCGACCAAATGAGACGACGACTGCACTACCAGCCGCATCCTCCTCCTAGCACTTGCTTGCCCTTCTGACCCCTGCGGTTTCTTTTCAGACCCAGCATGGCGATATCAAGTGTCGGCAGAGCTTTTCTCTCCTTGCTCGCTCTCTTGTTGCACTTAGCTCAGATCTCGGCGGAAGAGAAAGTCCAGGACGAGACCTCCGACCCTGCTGAGCTTCTCGAGCGAGGAAAGCTGTGGTACTTTGAAGCAGCAGCCTCCAGGAGCGAGGCTCAAGCCTTGTGGTCCATGAGATACCTCAAGAAGTGCATCTCCGAGCTTGAGAGACCCTCCTCCTCCTCCTCCTCCTCTCCCGATCATTCCAACAAACATTGGAGGAGACGAGACCTACACGCCTCTAGGACGAGGCTTGCAGCAGCATACTACTACCTGGGAGCGAACCTCCGAATGCTGGAGAGGAACGAGGAAGCGCGATCGGCGCTGCATCAAGTCAAGATGATGATGCCCAAGTCTCTTGCTACACACGCACAGCTCGGGGCCTTGGAGGAAGAGCTTCATAACTGGACAGCAGCAGAGGAGGCGTATGAAGCCTGGAGCATGCTCGCACCGCGCACTGTCAAGGCTCTGAACGCGTTAGGATGGGTCAAGTTCCGCGCGGGTAAGTCACAGGAGGCAGTCGGCTTGTTCATGCAGGCAGCGCGACTGCGTCCCGATGACCCTGAGACTTTCTACACGCTCGCTCGAGGTGCGGAGCTCTACGGAGGCGAATCGACAGAGTTTTACAGTGCGAGTGTGGTACCCAACTTCACGAGAGCGTACTGGTTGTCCTCCAAATCGTGGGCGAGTCGAATGTGCAAGCGGCTGGATAACAGCAGGCCTGAGGACCCGACTAGGTGTGAGGAGCCTGCAGTTGTAGAGCGCTGGAGAGAGGAGAAGCATAACCGCATCACCTCTGTCGCCACCCTGAGCGCTGGAGGGTTTGATTACGGAGCAGAGGAGGAGGCGACGTCAGACAGCTTTGAGCCGGGCAAGGAGGCGATAGGCCGAGCAGCCTTCGAGTGGGGGAGGAGGCAGAAGTACAGGGAGCGAGAGGTTGTACACGTCACGCTCAGAAACGTCTACGTGAGCGGCAACGACGCGGTGATATGGGATGAGGTCAGTCTGTAGGAAGTGGCTGCTTGTTCCTTACCCTTCCCATGGCAGGAGGGCCGAGTGTACGCGACCCATCAAGGTGTTCAGATCCCATTGTACGCGAACCTCCCCAGTGCTCGATGCCCTCCGGCCAACAGCTCAACCCCGAGGCTGAGCGAGACTCTCCTCCTCTCGCTCGCCTTCGGCCCTGGGTGCCTCCTCCTCCCGTTGCTTCTGCCCTGCTGAATATCCTCAGGTTCTATCACTGGCTGGTGGACGCCATGCCTCGAGCGTGTCTCGCCCTCCCCCGCATCTCTCCCTCCTCCACTGTGCTGGTGCCTTCCGACTACGGTGCCTTCCACTCCTTCATCCTCGAGCTCCTCCGCCTCCTGGGCATCCCCCGTGAGAGGATCACTCCCTACAACATCGTGGCGCAGCATCAGGGGGAGGAAGAATCCTCCTGCGCTCGCGTGTGGGTGGAGAAGCTTCATGTGGTCGACTGGAGGAAGGGAGCGGAGGACACACGGTCAGTGCTGGAGCTGCTGCTACAGGTCTCCTGACGCTCTTGCAGCCTCGACACTCACCATCTTCCTCCCCGTCACGCCATGAGGAGCCTGCGAGCGACTATGCTGACCCGTCTCGGACTCCTTGACGTGGACCAGGCGGGTAGATGGCCGCACGTGATGATTTACGTCACGCGACGAAAGTCGCAAGACCGACGGGTGGCGAACGAGGAGGAAGTGAAGCGAACGATGGAGGAGGAGGTGAGAGAAGCCTGTAGGAGGAGCAGAAGAGATAGAGAATGGAGGAGAATTTGAAGAGTGCGATAGGAGAGGGGGGAAGAGCAGGATAGAGAGGATGGGAAGGGGAGGGTAGAGGAGGTGGTGGTTCTGCGTCTAAACGAACAGTTTCACTGACTCTTTCCTCGTAGAACTCATTGCGTCTTCCTCTCGTCCTTCACTCAGACGCTCCTCGTTCTCCCTCCATGAAAGAGGTAAGAGGCTCCTGCTCCTGCTCTGACCCTGACTTGCCTCCTCGAGACGGTTGAGAAGTTTTCAAGAGCTCTCGTGGTGGTCGGCATGCATGGAGCAGGACTCGCCAACGCCATCTTCGCTCAGGTGAAGCTCAAGACCTTGGCTGGTCCTGCTTGACTTCCCTCGCTTTAGGATGGGACCCACCTGGTCGAATTCTCCCTCGCAGAGCCCGGAACGTATGATCCTCTTGCTGCTGCTGCTGCTGCTGCTGCTGCTGCTGCTGCTGCCCTTGCTGAGCCGGGAGCGTATGTTCCTCACCTGCTCCTGCTCTCACACTTTCTGTCCCTACCCTCTGACCTCCTCGCAGGCATTGCTACGCGCATCTGGCCATGGCGATGGGGTTCGTCTACTGGCAGGTCGGGCTCAAGGACGGGGACAGCGCTCATGGTCGCCGGTGAGTGAACTTACTGTCAGGAATGAGGAAGAGGGAGACGAGGAGGAGTTGACAACTAGCTCCGAAAGGTACTCGCATGTGTCGGCGGAAGAGCTCAGGTCTGTTCTCCAGCGGATCCCCAGGAGAAACCCCAGCTGACCCTCCTGTCGGGGAGCCGGGCCAGGCGAGTCGTTCTGGTTTTTCTTTTTTTCTTTTACACACTAAAAAAACGATCCGACCTACCATGGTGTTGAACCGAACCCACCGCTGCTGCTCCCCCTGCTGCTGCTCCTAGAAGTCTTGAGGTCCCGCTAGACCCTTCCTCTCCGCTCTCTCATAGGAGACCCTTCCTCTCCGCTCTCTCATAGGAGACCCTTCCTCTCCGCTCTCTCATAGGAGACCCTTCCTCTCCGCTCTCTCATAGGAGACCCTTCCTCCCTGCTATCCGACAGGCTTCAGCTTCATTCGCTTCACTCCAGGAATGTTTGAGCTCCCTGTCCCACCAGTCACCTTAGAGCTCCTGCTATCGAGGGCTCGACCCGTCTTCCAGTAAGTGCTATGAGTCCAGGATGATCGCTAGGGAGACTTTCACAACCAGCAAGACGCTACTGGCTGCGATGATTCTTAGCATGGCAATGTCAGGCCATACCCACACCTGTCAGAGCTCCTTGACAGGCTGTCTTTTGCTCGTTCGCAGCCCTCAGTCCGTCTGCCTTCACCTGAGAGGAGGGAGGAGCCCCAACACTGCCCCCCGGACTCCCCACCCGAACCCATCCAGCGCGGAAGCGACCAACAGCGGCGAGCAGGTAGGAACTGACCGCGGCTGGGCTGGGGATGCTGATGGGTGAGGTTCAGAACTCTGAGACGTCTTACGAGGAGAGCGGAAGGAGAGGACTGGCCGCTCGACGCAGCGACGTTGGAAGATCGCTGACTTACGCGCACGAGGCCGGGTCATCAGGATACGACATAGTCGTAGAAGATGAGGACGAGGGAAGGCAAGAGGAAGGAGAGGAGGGCGATGGTGAGGAGGGAGACGAGGAGGAGGAGGAGGAAGGGAGGAGGAAGGGGAGGAGGAGGAAATGGATGTAGACGGCGAGGATGAAGAAGGCTATGATTCGGAGGATGAATTTGTGGAGAACGAGGGGGAGCCAGGCTCTGCTTTGTACCTCCGATCCCCCCGCGGCTCCTTGTACGAGACTCACGTGTCATCCGGTGAGGCCTGGAGGAGGAGGCGAGGACTGATGAGAGCATAGAATGGAGCCAGAGCCTTGACCTCAACGGAGAGGAGAGCGGCGAGGAGGAGGAACGCCCATACCAGAGGCACGACCAGCTCGTGCGCAGGAGGATAAGGAGGCGAGTGAAAGTCGGAGGTTGAGGAGGAGGTTGACTGGCAGCCTTCAGGTTTGGACGGAGAAGCCACGCAGGATATGGCAGACGACGAGCTGGTGAGGAGGTGGAAGGGTCGGAGGACGCTAAGAGGCTGTGCAGGAAGAGTCTCAAGGGAGAACAGATTCAGAACCATCTCTCTTACCCTCAGCCCTGTGCTGGGTGATGAGCTTGCAATGTCTCCTCTTCCTCTGACTCAGTGGTAGATCGCTCGCGTCGCTCCGTCCCCCTCTTGTACAACAGCTCCAGCCTCGCTCCTGTACGTGCTTGTGTTGCCTCCTCCTGCTCCTCCTCTTTGTCTGACAGGAGGAGCAGAGGAATTGGCTGCTTCTCGACAATCATCGCTTGCGGTGGGTGAGGTAGCAGAGGGCGAGGAAGATGACACAAGCATAGTCACGCCACCATCGTCGGAGAGGGGAGGAGAGAGTCGGCCGGTCAGGAGCAGCGCGAGGAGCTTGAAGCCGAACGGGAGTGGCAAGGAAGAGAAACTGGCGCTGCTGTCCGTGAGAGCTCGTGGCAGGGACGTTCTGAATGAGTCGAGCGTGCAAGGGAATCGCAGCGAAGAGGCGGTAAGAGGAGGGAAGGAGAAAGAGAAGGAAAGAGGAAGGAGAAAGAGACGGAACGAGGAAGGAGAGTCTATCTATGAGTGCCGGGGGGGGGAGGGGGGGGAGGGCGGCAAAAGGTGAGGAAGAGGAGGAGAGGCAGAAGGTTGGAAAGGTCGAGAGACGATGAGAGAAGGATCACAAGGTAGATGAATCAGTGACGACAACTGCACAGATTCATCAGAGGCCGGCGGCATGTGCAGGTTTGGTGGTGGTTGTAATGATGATGATGTTGATGATGTTGATGATGTTGATGATGACGATGACGACGATGACGATGACAATGACGACGACAGAAACTATGGTTGTAGTGATGATGCTGTAACAATGATAAGGAGGACAAGGTTTAAAGTTGGTAGGTCGAGCTGGGAAGGCGAAGCACTTGGTGGCGCCTGGACGTCTACTGAACAACTCATATCTTCCCGTCGAGCATCTCCCGAGCATCGCTGACCACCTTGTCTCTTGCTCACCTCCTCCTTCTCCTCTCACACAAGCTCGTGCAGGGAGTTCTTGTATCTGCCAAGCTTGTTTCATGCTCGGTTGACAGGATCAGCGATGAAGGTAATGCTGCAACCATGCGACAAGTAGGTGTGATCCTCTGCCTCCTCCAGTCAACGTCTCCTACTTGGCTCCCCTCCTTGCTCAAGGCGTCCAAGAGTCGCTCCGTGAGAGCCTCCTGAAGCTGCACGTGAAGATGAAAGCTTCGCAGAAAACATGACGACGAATAGCAAGCTGAGAATGCAGAAAGCGACGGCAAACACCATATGTGAGGAGGCAGACGAAGAGTTGGGGAGAGGGGCAAGGAGAAGGAGGAGCCGCAGGAAGAGCGTGATGAGCAATGGTTGAGCAGAAGCAGGCCGAGAGAACGAGGACGAGGAGCAGGAAACGGAATGCTGACGAGTTTTCATGTACATCAGGCTACAGCAGTCCTCACCGAGCTTGTGTCGAGACTTCTCTGGAGCTTCTGCGGCTGCTCAATCTTGACCCGGCAGAGAGGCGTAAGATAGAAGGAAGAGGAGGAGCATGCTTGACGGTTTCCTCCTAGTCCTCGTCTCTGGTCGCCTGCAGGCTCGTCGCTGGGGGTCACTTGAGGTGCCTCACGCCTCCTCCTTCCTCTCCTCGTCCTCCCCCCTCCTCATCCACCACCACCAAGTCCTCCTCGTCCTCGTCCTCGTCCTCGTCCTCGTCCTCGTCCTCGTCCTCGTCCTCTCACACGTGGCAGGGACTGTCGGCATCGAGGCTACACGGGGTGAGACTTAATGCGAGCAGGAAGCTCACGACTGAACCTACCCTCCACCTGCTCTCCTCCACCTGCTCTCCTCCTGCTCTCCTCCTGCTCTCCTCCTGCTCTTCTTCTCTCACTTCTGCCTCTTTCCTCGCTTTCAGAAGCACTCACTTGAAGACAACGGAGTAGAGAGCGAAAAGGTTGTTAGAGGAAGGAGGAGAACGAGAGAGCAAGGCGATCATGGTGGTGGTGGTGATGATGACAACGATGATGAGGAGGGGGAAGAGGAGGAGGAGGAGGAGGCGGGGGGTGGGGGGGAGGGAGGCGAGTTACTTTCTCAGTCGCTTCTTCACAGGCCTTGAGGAATCGCCTGCAGGATTGGTTGCGCGAAGTCGAATCGACCTACAAGGTGAGGGGGGAGGAGGGGAGGAGGGGAGGAGGGAGACAGCTGAGAATCCAGCAGGGACTGAAGGTCATCGTCGTCGCCTGCCCTCACATTGTCCAGGTCGACCAGATTTCTCAGCTGCCAGAGTTTGACAGCCCAGCAGGAGTTGTGTCACCTTTGCCGCACGTCGAAAGTTGTAGCCGAGCACAACGTTACCTGTGAAGGTTGAAAGACAGGAGACTGCGAGCACAACTTTACTGTTACAGATGCTGGTGTAGAGTACTAGGAGGAGAGACAGAGAGGGAGGGAGGGAGGGAGGGAGGGAGGGAGGGAGGAGTACATATGTGACATGAAAGAATAATTTGACTTCCTGTGCTCATGTGTGAACTTGAATCATGTGCATCTCGCCTTCGCGAGAGCTGCTTGAAACCAAAATCGCCTTGCGGGGGAGAGAGCCTTGACGGACCAGTGCTCGATCTCCGATGCCGTCGGCATGAAGGCGGCATGAAGCTCCTTAGGAAGAGGCGAGTGATGTCGCTCTCTATGCGCATAGTGCGCGAGCATCTCGCTTCTGGAGCAAGGGAGTTCACGAGAGCCGCCGGGGGACTTCTCCATGCTCGAGTCTTGAGGAGGCTGAGAGAGGGCGCGCGGAGTTCGTCGAGGTGTGATGGTCTGCTGCTCTTGCGGCATCGGAGGACAACTCTCGTTTCTCACTCGCGATAGCTTGGAAGGGCTCCTCACCGGCCGGAGCTCCAGCAGCGACGGGGAGCGGCGGGGCTATCACTCCATTGTCTCATCCTCTGCTCCCTCGCGCGAGCATGCGGAGTCTTGGGCATGGAGGGCGTCTGAGCACACGTCAGTAGCCGCTGCGAGCAAGTCAACGACAGCTTCTGCACACATACCTGGGTGTACGCATGCCGCACCGGCGCTTGGCTCGGCACAAGGTCAGGTTGTCTAGGAGATTTCGGGGATCGTTTCATGCTTGGCTTCAAGTCAGAAAAGACGGGCTGCTGCCTCCTCGACGATGAACGCGGGCTCTCGCTATGCTGGCGGACCTCGATGTCCGAGGAGAACTTGCCGTTCATCCTGGTCTGTTTGTGCCCCTCCCTCGTGCTTCCGTCACCCCGTCGAGTATCCTCTCTTGTCTCCTGTGGATCATTTTCAATCTCTGTGATTTCTCTAGTTCTCTTCGGAAGCAACTTAGAATCGAGGTCATCCTGCTTGTCCGACAAGTAGCCCAAGACTGCCTCAACTTCGACATTTTCGGACTTGTTCAACATTTCTTTCATCAACATCTTCTCCTCTCGCCGCAGTTTCTTCCTGTCAGTCCTGTAGTCCATCAGGTCCTTGTTGTCCGGGTAGATGCCAGAGCCTATGAGCTGCAAGAAATCAGCATCATCAACATAACCATCTCATCGCAGACTTCCTCTCCTCATACCACATCCGACTCAGTCTCGCTCCTTCCCTTCTCAGCATGTTCTCTTCCTCGCCTCATGCTCACCTCCTCCTCCAGCATCTTCAGCTGCTGTTGCCTCCTTCTGTTCATCGTCAACTTCAACCGCAGCGACGCCATGAGCGCGGTCAAAACAACGTTAAATCGATATGACCCCGAAACCGTTACGATTTTACTGTAACAGTTTCTCACTGAGTGCGGGCCGGGCCCGCCGGGCGGCCCACTTGAGCATGCTGACTTGACTCTCAGTCAAACAACAGTCCCCTTTACTCAAAGTTAAGTTAAAAAGCAGTACGAGGACAATCAGGAGAGTCGAGGAGGAACTGCTGTCCCCCAAACTTAACTGATACCTTCACTTAACTGCGCGCAGGATACAAGGACTGGATCTCGCAGGGCGCTTCAAGATTCTTTCACTAAGTCAAAAAAAAAGGAGAGAATTCTATATACCGTTCTCGATTTTTGCGTGTCATAAACACGAGGCCCTACTAGGCTAGAAGCCTGAGGCAGGAAGCTCGTACTGATTTTTAACTTAACTTTGAGTGAAGATCGGCCCATCGGATCATCATACTGGCAGCAGCCTGAGGGCCGGGCTGACTCAGTCACTCGCCGGGGCTTACGGTGACTCACTGTCAGACTACTATCAGAGAAGCTGCGGACTATCATCGGATCATCGGATGTTCTAGTTCTGCTATGAATCCGACGGTCCGAGCTATACAACATGCAGCAGCATACTGCTTCCAAAGACTCGAGGGCCAAAAGATGAAAGTCTTAGCGTTCATTCATATCTTACATCCTGCTATGTAGCTGCTCCTAGCCTCCCCCCGTATGTACACCCTGTAAAGAATACTCGTCCGTCCTATGCCCCTCCACCCCTCCTCCTTCAGCTCTCCTCCTGTCTCGAGGGCATCCCGATGCCCGGCAGCTCTGCCTCCCGTCCCTCCTCTCGTGTCCGGATCGCGTCTTGCACAAGCTCGATCGACCGCCAGAGCGCGAGGAGCTGCTTCCTCCTGCAGGTGCTCATGCCGCCCCATGCCTCGTGGCTGAGGGCGAAAGGAGGCGGGTCTGAGAGGAGAGGAGCGTCCTCGTGGCTCGAGGCTTCCGGCTGCGCCCTCGTATCGTCATCGGTGCTGCGGTGCGTGAGGGACATGGCGAAGGACGGGGGAGGGGCAGAGGCAAGGGGTAATAAAGACGCCCAGGGGAGGGGGTCCGACTTCTTCGGCTACCGGGGCCGAACGGTGTTGTAAAATCACGGCCAAGGTAACGAGACGGTGCGTATCTCACTGGTGTAGTAAAGAGGAGGCGATGCGGATCTGCGGTGACTTGATCACGAGCCTGTAAGCAACGTCAGCTTGTGTCCGGGCGGGCCCGCATCCGAAGTCTGCAGTTGAGTGACGATTTTCTCAGTCTCTTCTGCGATAACTGTTGAACAAGCAAGACGGTCGAGCAAGCGTCCTGCATGGTCAAGTGAACATTCTCAGTCCTAAGATGAGGACCTGAAGCTCCTTGATGGCCTCTGTGTGCTCAAGCTTCTTGACCTAGAACGATTGCTCAGTGCTGCTGATGTGAACCAAACGGCTCACCTAGGAGTACCAGAGGTAGCAAGATCGTTCAGTGTGGCACACCGGACCAAGACTCATACAGAACAAAGCGCACTGTTCGTATAGGGGAAGAGGTCTACGTCCTCTAGCCGACAGCAGTAGCCTGTCGTGCTCGTTGTGTTCTAGTAAACGCAGCAGTGATTGCTCTAGTGCTCTTGCTGATTCCCGAAGGTGGTTGTGTACAACAAAGTGGCTATGATGCATGAGAGACTGATAACACCATGATTGAAAGCATGCAGTCGCAGCTCGCATGCCATTCAGAGTGTATCGACTCGGTAGGAGGCAGGCATGTATCATTTGAAGGGTGCTTCCTTCAGCCCTTGCAGGAAGCAGCAGAAAGAATGAACCATCTATCATATCAATACAGCTAGCTGACTTGGAGCATACATCACACAACCACCAAGAATCTTGGTAGCCTGGCAGGCTGTCAGACATGCCGCTGGGTCATTCCCCCACACGTAAAAGATGAAAGTCTTAGCGTTCATTCATATCTTACATCCCGCTATGTAGCTCCTCCTAGCCTCCCCCCGTATGTACACCCTGTAAAGAATACTCGTCCGTCCTATGCCCCTCCACCCCTCCTCCTTCAGCTCTCCTCCTGTCTCGAGGGCATCCCGATGCCCGGCAGCTCTGCCTCCCGTCCCTCCTCTCGTGTCCGGATCGCGTCTTGCACAAGCTCGATCGACCGCCAGAGCGCGAGGAGCTGCTTCCTCCTGCAGGTGCTCATGCCGCCCCATGCCTCGTGGCTGAGGGCGAAAGGAGGCGGGTCTGAGAGGGGAGGAGCGTCCTCGTGGCTCGAGGCTTCCGGCTGCGCCCTCGTATCGTCATCGGTGCTGCGGTGCGTGAGGGACATGGCGAAGGACGGGGGAGGGGCAGAGGCAAGGGGTAATAAAGACGCCCAGGGGAGGGGGTCCGACTTCTTCGCCTGTAGTAAAGCCTAGGCATGGTAACGAGATGGTGCGTATCTCACTGGTGTAGTAAAGAGGAGGCGATGCGGATCTGCGGTGACTTGATCACGAGCCTGTAAGCAACGTCAGCTTGTGTACGAGAAGAGGCTGATTGGATCTGAGCATCGGCTGTACCGTTGCACCTTTGTACAACGTCCTCCACTTGATACACGAGCACCTTTGTACCGTTGCTCTTTTGAGTTGTAGGGTAACCTGACGACGGACAATGTCACGATCATGACATGGCACGGAAGGGCTTGGGGTGTTTTACTACAGGTGAAGGCGTAAGGCTTTTGTATTCAAGTGTTACCTGCCCCTCATACCGCACCACCGGGCCCGATTCTGCCGCCGGTGACCCACCGGGTCCGGTGAACGGCACTGACTTATATCCATAATTTTAAATTGACCCCCCGTTTGATGGGGTACCCTGCTACCCGGGGATTCCCTATGAAGGGGGTGGGGTGGAGAAGGATGTTATATACACGCCTTTTTGAAAGTAGCAGAGCAGGATGGCGTCGATCGCGAAGCCGAAGATCCGGTGAGACGATGGGAGAGAGAGGATGGAGAGAAGAGGCAGAGAGGAGGCAGAGAGGAGGCAGAGAGGAGGCAGAGAGGAGGCAGAGAGGAGGGAGAGAGGAGGCAGAGAGGAGGCAGAGAGAAGGGAGAAAGAGTCGGGCAACTAGGGAGAAAGATGAGAGGGAGAGGAGGGAGGGAGGAAGAGAGATTGAGGGGGGCAGTCTGTCAGTGAGAGCTAAAATGAGCATGGGAAGGGAACGAGAATGGATGGGAGGGGGGATGAAATCCGGAAGAGTGTGGGACAGAGCCCTGCACTAGGAGTTTGATATTGTCAGAACAAGTTCATAGATGTTTGTAAGACGAATGGCTGTGTTTACAAATGCTCTTGGTTGACAGAATCTTCTTGTCAAAACTTCTCATGAGTCTCATATCAGCGTCTCTATGCAACTCTCACGATGACATTGTGTTGTGCGCACAGGAGACATCTCCCTAACAGTTGGGTTGAGCTGGAATCTCCCGATGGTGAGATCTACTACGCCAACGTCAAGACGAAAGAAACTTCTTGGGACCGACCTGATTGTGATGTGGAAGACAAGGAAAATCAGCACGAGAATGTCCTTATGCCTATCTCTAAGATCGCAGCCGTCGCACAAGCCCCTCGTTCCACCTCCCCTGCTGCGAAGGCAGGTGGCAAGAGACTGGACGTGTCTCAGGTTTCTCTCTCGGTCGACTGGTCGACTGTGAGCGGATGTTCTGCTGACTCTCGTGGCTCGCAGGGCTCCCGCTCCTTCCCGCGCTTCTCTCAGTGCCCTTTGCAAGGGAAGCAGCAGGAGATGACGTGCGAGGAGAGCATGAGCGTCTCCTTCGTGGCCAAGGAGAGCCATGCTGTCTCCGACCTCGCGGCCCTCGCCGACATGTCGGTCGCTCATCTTTCTCCTCGGGAGGTTCAGCCCGATGCTGGAGTTGGCATCCTGCTGGAGCAGCTCGAAGAAGGAGGTCCTATCACAGTCGGGAAAATATTCAAGGAGGGGCCAGCCGCGCTCAGTACGTTGTAGCCCCTCCTGCTGCCCCTGCCCCTGCCCCTGCCCCTTTCCCCCGTTCCTGCCCCTTTCTTTTGACTTTACTCTTCAAGCCGCAAGGTTGGACTTGGCGATCAGGTGCTTGCAGTCAACGGTCAATCTGTGGTCGGTACAACTCCATCGGAGTTGCGAGGGGCGATCGTGGGACGAGTCGGGACACAAGTTCACCTGAGACTGCGGAAGGCGAGCAGTGACGGGCAATGGAGCAGAGGAGATATCCTCGAGGTACGGGAGCGAGAGGAAGTGACTGGAGGAGAGGAGATAGCAGTTCAAGAGGATGAAGGAGAGCAAGAATGGAGGGAGGGGGGATGGATGGAAGGAGTGGAGGCAGGCAGAGCATGTCTAAGTAAAGTCTTCAGGTCACGCTCTTTCGCGCTGCAAGCGTCGAATCGCGAGCCGCTGCTCCCCAAAAGTCAGAGCAGAAGGTGAGGCCGGAGCACGAGGAGGGTGGAATATGACGCGAGGCTGCAGGACGATCATCAGGATCAGCAGCGTGAGAGGAAAGAACATGCCGAGCCCGCAGGACCCTCGAGGGAAGTGCTCATGCTCCGACAGGCAGTCGAGGAGGAGAGGAGGAGGGTAGAAGAGCTCACAGCCAAGATGCAAAGCATGGCCCAACAGAACTTTCTGCTGGAGGAGAGGTGCTTGCGAGCTGAGGAGAAGCTGGAGGAGGCAGAGGGGAGGGTCGAGCGGCTCAAGGTAGACATGTGCGAGCAAGTTGAGAACTCATGGAGGAAGGAGAAGGAGAAGCTGATGGAGTGGCACGCGGAGGTGATGGAGCAGGAGCGGAGACTGCTGGAGGAGAAGATCAGAGAGGTCAGAGAGCAGGAGAAGAGCCTCTACAACAGGTTCAAGGTTGAAGCCATCGAGGCGCATGAGAGGGTCGTCAGCGCCTCCTTCCAGGCAGAGCGAGAGGCGCACAGGAAGATGATAGAGCAGCTGCAGGAGGAGCTGGCGGAGGCTACCGAGAAGCTGCTTGCTCTGTCGTCGGCGCAGAAGCAGGAGGAGCGCTCCCCCTCAGCTCGCCCCGTTGATCTCCATCCTCCTCCCAGGACTCGCCCACCTCCTAGGAGTCTCTCGGACCGTGAGACATCTCCTGCTCCCTCTGCTCCTTCCGCAGGCTCGCCCAAGTCCCGAGGGTCCGAAGACGTCTCCTCCGTCCTGCAGGTCCTCACGGACGAGGGCGCCAACCTCACCAGCCAACGAGAGGCCATCCATGCTCTCGGCATCCTGGCGATCGAGCCCGAGGGCAGACATCTCATCCTGCAGCATCCCAATATCATCGGGGCCCTGCACGCGCTGCTGCTGCTCCAGGTACAGGAGCAGGAGCAGGAGGACGAAGAGTATGAGGAGGGGGAATGAGGAGGGAGGGAGTGAGCGAGCGAGTGAGGTCCCATTGTTAACACTCTCTCAGGACACGCATGTGTCTCGCTACACGTCTCTAGCTCTTGGCAACATCGCCATGGACCCGCAGGGCAGGAAGGAGATCTTCAAGCACGGTGAGCGCTTGCTGCCTCCTCGTGGGAGTCTCGTGAAACCTTGAGAGCAGCTCAAGCTCTCCGAGACATCTCCCTCCTGGTCTCCTCGGCAGACGCTGAGACTAGCAGATACGCCACCATGGTAGAGGAGGAGGAGGAGATGGGAGGAGGAGATGGGAGGAGGAGACCTCGTGACTCGCCTCCTCCTAGGCCATCGGAAATCTTGTGCTCGAATCAGGAAATCGACATCTTGTCTTCAGCCAGGTGAAACTCTTCGAGAAGATGTTTTCCTTCTGCTCCCCTCTCCCTCTCCCTCTCCCTCTCCCTCTCCCTCCCCCTCTCCCTCCCCCTCTCCCTGGCTTCTCCATGAGACGCTCTTCTTCCAACAGGATGGGCTCATCGAGAAGCTGATGAGTCGCCTGTCGTCCAAGGACAAGCAGACGATCCGCTATGCTGCTGGAGGTGAAGCCCATGGTGACCTAACAACGTCTGACTTGCCTCAGCACTGAGGAACATCGCGGTGGAGCGGGAGGGCAGGCAGCACGTGCTCTCATACCCCGGTTGTCTTGAGCAGCTGAACGTAAGGGAGGAGGAGCCGAGCAAGGGGAGGGGCAGAGGCGGGAGGAGGAGGAGGAGAAGGAGGAGGTCGAGCGGTGGGTGAAGGGAAGAGAGCGAGGAAGAGGAGCAGATCGAGGCAGGACGAGGACGAGGACGAGGATGAGGATGAGGATGAGGATGAGGATGAGGAGGAGGAGGAGGTCGAGCGGTGGGTGAGGGGAAGAGGGCGAGGAAAGGGAGCAGATCGAGGCAGGAGGAGGAGGAGGAGATAGCAACCTTGATGGATGCTTGACAGGAACTGAAAAGGTCTACGGATGCAAGCACTGCCCGATATGCTACAGCATGTCTCAAGAACTTGAACCTCACGGGGTGAAAAGGTGGAGGGAGGACACAGGCAAGAGGGAGCGAGGAGAGAGGAGTACAGTGACAAGGAAGAAAGTATTACTAACATTACAAGAGAAAAAGAATACACAACAATGTCACGTCATCGGGGCTCGTTGCCTAGCAGCTCGCAAGCCCACGGGTCTACAAACTCAGAGGTTCTCGGGCTATTCTCGTCCGGCGCCTCAGTCGTTTCCCCTGCTTTTCTCGGTCTGTTTCTCTCTGAACTTTCACCGCAAAGCTGCAGCTCTCGTTTCACTCGGTCCTGCATCTTCTCGAACCCTCCCGTGGCGCAATCGATCCATGCTGTGCGCAGAGTTCCCTTCCCCTTGATGTCCATCTTGTCCCAGTTCACCCCGCATTTCATCCCTTTCCCTCGGCTGGGCTCCTCCTCCTCCTCTTCCTCTCGCAGCTCCTCCGCCTGCTTGTGGCTCCACATCTCGTCCATGTACCGCAGTGCCGCCTCTTCCGACAGGTGCAGCAGTCCCGGGTTTCCGCTCTGCTCCATGCGAGCCGCTGTGTTCATGGTGTCACCAAAGGCGCACATGGTGGGAGCGAAGTGGTTGCTGTCGATGTAGGCGATGGTGAGGGGGCCGCACGCGATGCCAACACGGATGAGCGTGTCGTTGTTCTGCTTGATCCGATGGAAGACTGCAACCGCGAACTTCACCATCCTCGTCATCTGGTCTTCCCCTCTGTCGCCCTGCACGCCGTTGGTACCCGAGGCACAGATGTAGCAGTCTCCTCTCGTCTCGATCTTGCGGATCGAGTACTCGGCGATCAGCTGCTCGACGTCAGCATGCACATGCGACATCCAGTCCGTGATCTCGTCGGGCGAGAGCTCCATACAGCGCTTGGTGTATCCCACGATGTCGAGGAAGAGGACGGTGGCGAGGGAGTAGGACTCTGGATCAGGAAGCTGGCCCGCTGCCACTATCCTTCCGGCACTCGATCCGTACAGGACCTCAGCCGCTAGGTGCCAGAGACCAGCAGAGTTTGTCAAGCTCTGTGAGTAGGGCGACTGGCATTCTCCTCCCTCCTCGTCCACAGGGAGGATGAGGCTGTAGATCATGCAGTCCTCGGACCCGAGATCCACCTCTCCTCCTAGAGTGCGCAGGATGACGTTGGCCTGCACTGACTCTCCGTTTGCTTTCTGCAACGAGACGTTGCGCAAAGGGTGCAGGAGAGATCCTGGAAGGGTGCCGTTCTCGATGGCCCTGGTAACCCAATGCTGGTGCACCCGACGAATCTGAGGAGGGAGAATGTCGTGAACTGTCTGTGGCCAGTCCTCTCTGCTCTGCGGCCAGTCCAGCATTGACCTGAGGGTCTCGTTGGCGAGCACAACCTGCAGGTTGGGCCCCTTGCTGAGAACAAGACCAACCTTCCTGGTGCAAGGAAGGATCGTAGTAGTCGCACTGAGAACTTCAAGCAGGACCTGAGCCTTCACCTCGCTGATCGCTTGCTTCCCCTCGACGACCGAGCCGGCTGCCGGTGCGCCCACCGTTGATTTGTCACTTTTGCTGCCATCGTCGATATTCGCAGAGGACTCTGAGGATGCGCTAGAGGAGGAAGAGAGAGAAGAGTGGGGTGTGGAGGAGCATTGCGATGATTTCCTAGCGATGAGTATGTGGACCGCGGCAGCCATGGCGAAACCGCCGGCAAAGCCGATTAACAGCTTCAGCATGCCGACTACAAAGCCCGTGGGAACCAAACGTGTGGGTCGCTTGTGTTGGGTTGAGTCTTTCATGACAAGGGTGGGGGTAGTCACACAGGGGTGGTAGTGTTGTCATCATGGGGGTACAGCACAGAATTTGCTTCCTGTGTAATATCAAGGGTGGGGTAGTTTAGAGTCATCAAGTGGGTATAAGGACAAAGGGAGGGGTTGGCAGGACTTGAAGGGTGCATTCAGTCCTTTGTCAGGGTGGGTAATCTTGATTATAGTAGGTAGGGGTGGTTGCTCGAGTGAAGTGGGGGAGCTAGTTACGCCGAATGTGCGGTGTACTGTGGGTGATAAGAATGATAGGGTAGGGTACTAAATGTCGACAGATTTCCAGATCAAAGGTACGGTAATTTCTGGGAAATTTGAGGGTAGGGTCATATTTTTAAGGGGTAGTGTGATCCGGGGCCGATTTTTTTTTGGGTAACAGGGGTCCTTGCTGATAGAGTCGGTGCGAAGGGTTGAGGAATGGCAATCTCTTGTAATATAGGGGGTGGTATGAAAAGGAGGGGGGTAGTGTAGTATTCAAAGGTGGGTCAAACTGTGCAAGATGGAGAGGTTGGGTACTAAAGTGGGGGTAGGGGGTACAACCGCACAAGTCTTTGATTTCAAATCTTTTGGATAAAAAGTTTTGATTTAAAACTTCCTTTTTTAAATCCTCGGTGGGGATGACCACCCTCAGAGATGAGCCCTCAAGTACCCCTCCTAATCACTGTGGATCTCTGGACTTGAGGTGGGTACACGAAATCAAGCAAAAGAGCCCGGGGGATGAGGGTGGGTAGAGCATCAGACTGAACTTTTCAGAGGCCAGTGTAATCCTGTTCGACCACCCTTATCACCATCACCCCATGATACGTATGTGTACCCCTCTATAAACGTGCTCATCACTTGATCATTAGGGGGTACTTTTGAAGATTCCAGACCCTCCACCCCCTATCATGTAGTTTCTTCTACAGAACTGAAATGCCGGCCGCTGAGAAAAACTTAATCCTCACACCCCCAATTCTCATAACCCTACCCTTCATTTGACTTACGACTACCCCCTTTCTGTATTGATTAAAAATAGGATTTTGGGGACCCACCCCCTGACAATCTTCCCTGTCGACAAACCCCAACCCTTGACCAAAAACTTGGTTCGTCCATATTTTATTTTTACAACGTTTTTGCCACTAGTTCACCTGACCCCCACCCCCTTTTCTGAGGTAAACATCACCCCTTCACAACAAGATCCCCATGACTGCGACTTGTGCCCCATGTTCAAAGTTGTTTTCCTGGTCTTGAGACTCTTTTCTACTCCCTGAGCTCATCATCGAGTCCGCCTCAGGTGTAGTACAGTGGACCGGCCGGGCCGGGCCCGGTCAGCCGGGCCGGCCGGGCCCCGCCGCCGGGCCCGGGCATACAGTTGGCCGGGCCCGACGTCTTGTTGCGGCCCGGGGACCGTCGCGGGCTCAGGTTTAACCGTGACAGATGTCACGCTACCGGGCCCCGGCTGCGGCCCGGGCCGGGCCCGCCGGTGGGGCCGCTAGCCCCGCGGGCCGGGCCGGCCCCGGCTGCGGCCCGGGCCGGGCCCGCCGGCGGGGCCTAGCCCCCGGGCCCGGCCCGGCCCGGCCCGGCTCGGCCGGGGGCCGCCGGGGTGCCCGGCGCACTGCCAGGCTGAGTAGTACTACCGTAGTACCGCCTGTGCGGCCCGGCCGCCCGGCGGCCCGCACGGTACGGTCTGAGCCCCCCGAAGCACGGCCCGGCGGCCCGGCCACGACCCCCCGGCCACGCCGTGCAGTGACGGTGACGGTACCGGCGGGCCGGGTAGCCTAGTAGTCAGTCACTCCCTTTATTCTGTGGCACTGAGTCAGCGGTCTGACTTTCGCAACAATCACGTCGGACATCTTCGGAAGTTCCACTACTTTTCGTCCTCCTTGTTCTTTGTACGGCTCAAGTAAATCTTTTGCAGCAATCTCTTGACCTTCATATTCGCCTGTTGAGGGATTGAGAAGTGAAACAAGGTAGTACAAGCTCATGCTTGCAGCCTTACCGAGTTGTATCGATCGGATTTGGACCCACTGTCAGCGTACGAATTGCCCTGATCCTCCACCATCTTCTCTTTTATCACCTCAAACTGCAGGGTGTTCAATGAAAAGGGCGCAATCCGATTGGCAGTCACAGTACCTCCTCTCTTGACCCAGCTAACGGCATACCCAAATGTAGAGCGGTCAAGGGGTCGATGGTGTCTGCCGACACGAAAACTCCATGGCCAGCGTCCTCGAAGCCATTTTGCCTCAAGATCTGATGGGTGAGTTAGTGCAGGAGACAAGCAGCTTGTGCTCTCACCTCCTTCATTTCTGGGGTCGTTTGAAGCCCTGCCAGCAGGAGAGGACCTATCGCGATCAAACTTCAATCGGCAAGCAAAGGCCAAGATGCGAGGCTCTCACTTGGCTTGAAGCTAACCTCCGGGCATTTCTTGATGTTCACCTCCTTGCCTATCACAGCCCTGAAAGCTCCCTTGCATTGACGAAGCATCTTTTCAATGTTTTCAATCTAGTAGAATCGCTCAGTCAATGAATTCAAGGCTTACTTGGAAACCCACCTTCCTCTTGTCCACTTCTAGCTTACAGGACCAGTAAATCCGCGCATTCCCGAGGTCCGAGGTCATCTCAACATCTTCGATGGTAAGGATCTGTTGCAAATTTTCGAACTCCGGGTGACGTTTGAATAACTTCCTGTCAGGAGAAAATCCTGTTGGAGATGACGACTCTCTCAAACTTCGACTAGCTTACCCGTGATAGAGTGCTTCGACCAGGCACCTCCGAACAGCTGCCCCCACCATTCTTGCACGCTTTTGCTGGAAGAAGACGAATAAGTGTCAAAGGATGATGATTCCCAAACAATGCATCGACAAAGTTAGGCTCCAAACCTTTTTCCTGCTCACGCTTGATTCCTTGAAGCCAGCCACGGACGCTGAGATCCTCGTGAGCACAACACGCAGGAGAGCAAGCTCATCTACCGCTCTCGAGATACCCCAACGGGGTTTCGGCTCCTCGTACAAGACGCGAGGCAAGCTCACTCAGCTTCTTGTCGGTGTCGTAGTCGGGAGTCGATCCGTCATAGTGGGGAGTCGATTCGTCCTCGGCGTCTTCAGAGGGTTCCTCATGACTTCAACAACGACAAGTCATGGCGCCATCAACATAGGGGCACGGCAGAGAAGCGCTCGTCCTACCTTGCATCGGTTTCCAACTCCTCAACGTCGACATACTGGACCTACCGTCAAGTGAGACATGCTTGCTGTTGTGAGAGACATGCTAGAGATGCACCTCCTCTTGTACAGGCGCGTCGTCGTTAGACAGAACATGAACAGTTTTGTCTTCCGAATGCTCTTCCTCCATGTTCTGCTCTTTCCTCAACCTCCTCTCCAAGGCATCCAACAAACTCCTGGTTTTGTGTTATTAGGGCTAATTTCACATGGGAGGCATCTTCTTGCAACCTTCTCTTTGCATTGAGCAGCGGCGAAGAATGAAAACTCCTGTCTCCTCTCCCCATCTGATCCATCTTTGCCGATACCGTGCATATTCTCAGGACACCAACACCAGTAGCTCCGAGCTTGCAAGTACGAACCATGGAACCAGGCATCGGAGGAGGAGGATGGCAATGGTGCTGATGAGCATTCTGCCAGTATCTGAGTGTTCTCGGTACGATCCCCTTCTCCTTCATCGTCCTGCCTCTCATCGCCGCTGCAACCCCACCCCCAACCCCGTGACTCGCACGCGCCGCCATGAGAACTTGCACTGTAACGGTACCGTAACGGTATCATAACATGTTATAACATTGCTGCGATGAGACCCTTCACTTCCATAAATTATAAAAAACGTTACTATCCGTTACATCCGAAGGGTTGTGTATCCAAAGGTCGCCATGCTCTCTCGCCTCCTCGCGCCGAACCCAGTATGCGGGCTGTACATGGTGAGAGACTCCCGCCGCTCTCCCCGTCATGCCGCCGCTCTCCCCGTCATGTCGCCGCTCTCCCTATCATGCCAGCACCATCAGCAGCAGCGCATGCTCCGCACACGTTGAGATGATGTTAACAATGTAGTTCGCCGATCCTCCTCCTCCTCCTCCTCCTCCTCCTCCTCCTCCTCCTAATCATCACCACCACCACCACCACCACCACCACCACCACCACCACCACCACCACCACCACCATCATCATCATCATCATCAATACCTTTTCCTTTATGATATTCAATGTTTTCTTGCCCCTCACATATACCGGCACTGGATTCTGTCGGCTTTGCTCGTCTCGCCATTCAATGTTGACTCCAGCTGCTATTAGCTGTTTTCCATGTCTTGCACTGTCTGTTTCCTACATCTATTCTCATTCTTATGGTTCATGTCGCTTGCGACCTGCATGAGATACCTGAACTCAATGTTTCTTTTTGCTGCTCTTGAACATTCGTTGCTGCTCCAACCCTCATAAGCATGGGATTCTGCTGCAGCTGTCCTTGATTTCGAATTCTGTACTCTGGTTTCTCAGCGTACATGTACAATTCACCATGATCGCCATGATCATCTCTTCATCATCTTGTCTCTATCATCCCTAACGTGCTCATGATGCTTTCATGACCCATGTTTGTGAATGGTCATCCTGGGTCGCTATGCCCCATTCACTGACCGGTAACGCAGCAAATGGAGCATGACAACGCCGCGACTTTGCACACCTTGGACAAGATCCCGGGACAGGACAGCTTGAAGGCGACATACAGCCAGATGCTCAGCCATTCCAAGAGGAAGCTGAAGATGGCCGGCTGCTTGTGATGCTAGTTATCCTGATTTATTGTTTGCTCACATGTTAAGTGGCAAAGTCTGGATCTGGTTTTGCTGAGGTGCGGGTTAGAAGTTGGCCAGAGGTCGCACGGGTTCAGGCGTGTGGAGCCTTTCAGAGTTTGTTTTTACGATTTAGCATGTATCCTACATAATGAAACCTGACACGAAGCTCTGTCTGCCGCTTGACTCCTCTGACCGTTACTTCTCCTTCACCCGCAACCAGATCTCATAACCGTCGGCGAACGATGCGATGGTGAAAGCATCCTTGTCCTCGAGAATCTAGCGTACCAGTCAACAAATTACAACGACGCAGGCAGGTACCTCAAAGCCCTTCCTCGTCACAAGAGTTGCGAGCTCCTCCCTTGCACCCAGGAGCGCCTGCGCGTGTTGTGAGCGAAAGAAAAAGTCAACCACAACAATCAGGTTGAAGGATGCGGCAGGAGGAGCAAGACGGGACTCCAAGGAGCACGGGAAGAAGGGAGAGGGGGAGGGAGAGGGGGAGGGGGAGGGGGAGGGGGAGGGGGAGGTTCAGAAGCACCTGCTCACTTCTTGAGCGATCAGCTCCGAATCCTCGAACAGCAAGAGTGGCCACTAGTGCAGGAGGTGAGCTCACAGCACTGGCCCTCTTGCTCACCGAGAGTTTCCGGAACTTCAACGAGCTGCAGCCCCGCGATCCCCGACGGCTTGAGAGATCTCTTCCTCCACTCTGCCGTACCCGCAATGTCACAGCGAGTGAAGGCAAGATCGGAGAAGAGTTGTAGGGGCGGGGAAAACTGAGTTGAGGGAGCGGGGGGAGGGGGAGGGGGAGGGGCAGGTGCGCACAGGGCAGAAAGTGTGAGTGCAAAGGAGCAGATGGGAGCGGATGACCTGGAGGGAGGATGTAACCCAAGGAGCTGTCTTGCTTCCCTGAATCCATTTGGAGCTGAGGCTCCTGAAAAGGATCAGTCAGGAAGGCAAGGAGGAGGAATCGTCGATCACAGTGACTGGCAGGACTTGGCCGAGCGAGTTCGAGGGTTTGGTGAGGGCGTCTCCTCTGAACTATCAGAGATGCATGAGGAGACGTGGCAGGGGCTCTTCTTCACTTTCACCTTGCGCAGGAGGTCCGTTGTCAAGAGGTAAGAGTCCTTGTCGTAGACGGAGCCGGTCTGTCCAACAGGTCAAGGTTGAGAGGAAGAGGAGGAGCATGCGGACTGGGCCCAACCTCCGATTGCACCATGGTGAAGGCTTCGTATCTCCTGACTTCTATCCGACTAGAGCATGTCAGCTGCATGCGGAGAGAGGCTCAGGGGCTCGTACTCGGAGAACCTTCGGATAAGGCTGTACTTGGTGACTTCCTCCCCTCCGCCCTGGCAGCCTCGTCAAGGAGCAAGAGGAGGGGGAAACTCAGTCACGTGCCTTGAGCTGCCGCAGGCCCTGCAAGGAAACGACCTGCAAAGGGTTGGGGAGCAGCTGAGAAACGACATCCGCCAGGCCCTCAGCCGAGCTGCCATGGAAGTCAGCGAGCCCGCATGGGGTAGCTAGCCGGGACACACATGGGCTGGTTGTTGGCAATGGAGTCCCACTCGTCGATGTGCTCGACGACGAGGCCGCTGAACGCAGAGATGAGGAGAGAGGGAGGAAGGAGACTAGGAGACCTGTCCGCGTCCAGTACATACTTGGTGCTGCCGGTGAACTCTAGCCTCTGCGTCGGAACAAGTCATGGCCTGTCGTACAAGGACAGCGTGCTTCGACCGGCCTCCAGGGGAAGGCCTTGAACGTCATCCCTAGGGTCCAACGCGTGATGACCGTGTTGGGATCAACGACTAGGACAGACACATAAGCGTCATGGCTGCAGGAGACAGCAAACAAGGTCTGATCGATCACCTTCTACTTGGTGCAAGTCCATCTTTCCGTCGGTGAACAACGGCGAGTCCTTTCAAGGGCTCATTCACTAGCCTCATGACATGCAGCATGTCTCATCAACCTTCAACATCTGGATGTTGTCCTGATACTTCTTGATGCCCTCGAACTTGTTCAAGGGGTCTCGGAAAGCAACCTCCGCACTCCCATCAGCCCCATCACGGCAGCGTTGGATGCAGTAGGATACCTTCTTGTCGTACAAGTCCCATTTCGGCTCGTAGGAGAGGTCGAAGAGCGAAGGAAGCTCCTGGCCTCCTCTGTAAGTTCTGAGTACCACAAGGATGTTCACTTGCTACCTCCTCCAGCTCTTTCGCCAGCTGATTTGCTCTACATGTCATGTGAGGGGATCATGATTTTGACCGTGTTCGCAAAAAGAACCTCGTATAAGAAACGTCGCCGCTCGACATCTTGCAGGCACACGCGGCTCTGCGTTGCTCATCACATACGTTTGGACGAAATGAAGCAGTACCTCGACGGCTTCTGGAACGTCCGGAGGAGAGAGGACGTCGCACGAGGACGAAGGGTCTGGAGGAGGGAGGAGGAAGAGGAGGATCGAGAACCCTGCATGGGCGAGAGAGACGGCATGACGAAGCCGCTCACGCTCGCTGCCATCGCCAGCAGGCATGTTGTCGGCGCCAGCATGTTTCTCCTTATGTGTAACCTTTCAAGTCCGCCTATCTTTGATGCAAGTTATCAAATAAAGGCAGCAAAATCACAGTAGTCTTCTTTGCTACTCTGTCATTCAGTATTCCGGGGGCAGAGAATCAACTTACCAGTGCCAAAGGCCCGGGCTGCCCGGAACGAGGGCGATGAAGTTGAGGCGGGAGACTGGCATGGCGGGAGTAGCGGGAGCTAGGTGGTGGCCAGGAGGAGGAGGAGGAGGAGGAGGAGGCGGAGGAGGAGGAGGAGGAGGAGGAGGACAGGAGCAAGGGAAGGCATACGACAAGGAGGATATGATGATGAGGTCTGAGATCAGGTTGGTTCGCGGGTCGGAAGGTGAAGGAGGGCTGATGGCGAATGGGAGTGGAGGATCGGGCAAGAGCGCATGGGGGCGCAGAGAGGAAGAGAGATGGCGGGTTGTAGGACTGGAGCCGAGCGAGGGAACGAAGGCAGCGTATGATGCAGCTGCGGACTGGAAGAGGGAGGAGGAGAGCAGGAAGCGGGAGGGCATGTCGACCGCCCTTAGGTTCCCTTCCAGTCGTGTCGGATTGTGGGACTCGGAGCCGAGAGGGCTTCCAGTGCATGTGACGCAAGTAGCAGCGATCCCTTCCTTGAGCCTGAGCCCAGCGCTGCTGACGAGCTTGACCGTCTCCCATGCCAGCGGCAGGGTTGCAGTCAAGGGCATGGCGCGGGAGGTGGACCACCAACTGGAGGTGCCAGGGAGTCTGACGAGGAGCAGCGTGCAATGGCATTGCGACAAGGTCGAGCCAGACACGGAGAGATCCTGCGATGGAGAGGAGGAGGAGGAAGGAAGAAAGAAGGAGGAGATCAGCATCCCTGTGATGTTCTCGGACGATGACAGGTGGGATCAGCAAGAGAATGTCCCTTCTGCTTCCTACAAGGAGGAGGTGGTCGGGGGTATCAGGAAGAGACTGTACTCATTCAGCCCTCTGAGAGCAAGCAAGTTCGCCAACGTCTTCATGCACAGCAGGGTGTCACATGATGGCAACTTGCACTTGACATGTTTCGGATGTTTCCCTTGTGATTCCTTCACACTGACACCTCTGAAGCTCCTCAAGGTGATCCCGACCTCTCTCTCTCAGTCTCTCTACCACAGAGAGAGTGAGTTCACCCAGCCGTCGACAGGCTTCCTCTCGCTCGACCAGACAAGGAGGATCCTGCTGATACACGAGAACGACCTCAAGTGCCGTCACGTTCCTCTCGTCGGCGTCTGGATCAGCGGCGTTACCACTCTGAGCGACGCCTACGTCTGGTCTGCCTTGCTGCGCTACGTGCACGTGCGGGGCATGGGGGAGAAGGTCTTCAACCAGGGAGACGCGTTCCTCTGCCTCTTCTATCATCGCTCTGCTCTCTGTCAGCCGCCGGCCCTGCTACAAGTCAAGGTTCACAGCGGGCAAGGCATGTTCGCTCACTTCTCCTCCAAGTCTGTTGTGGTCAACGTGGAGCATCTTCCCCCCAGCCCAGCCCTGATCGACTTTGACACCCTCCATGCTGATTACTCCTACGATCCTGACAGCAGCAAGGAGGCGCGGCGAGGAGCAGGATGGTCCAAGGGAGCGGCGCAGGTGGCCATGGACGACAGATCAAGCTCGTTGGTTGACAGTGAGAGGGGCTCTAAGGAAGAGCCTGCTGCAGGCAGACCCAATCTCAACGACATGTCAGGCATGAGCGTCAGCGAGGCCTTCGATCAGCCGCGCACCTCCGTCCCGCAACCATCTCCCATGGGAGGTCGAACGGTGATGCCCTCAATGCATGGAGATGTCGAGGGAGGAAAACCCTTGCCCTCCCCCGGCGACGAGGGAGCGAGAGGGAGCGAGAGCTCGTACGAAGTCCCTGGCAAGTACCTTGAGCCTCTTCCTACGCATCCTGGTCAGGTTTCGAACTTCCTCCTCTCTGCCAGCATCCGCCCTGTCCGCACTCGAGCCCGAGCGCAGGAAGCGGAGGAGAGTGTGAGCAAAGGGCAGGAGGTGAGAGGACCGCAGCAGCTGGAGGATTCCTACCTTCACAAGAAGATACAAGAGCAGGAGATGCAGATCAGGCAGCTCGCACTGACCCTCCAGGAGCTTGGCGGGAGGGTTCACAAGGCTCAGGTTTGCTCAGTGGGAACTCAACTTGATCCGGACAACAACAAGAGCTTCTTTGTATCGCCCACGAGACCCCACGAGGTACGTTGGAAGCTCTTGAAAGCTCCTTGACGGTTCTGGTGGCAGAGGAAGAAGGCCAGTAAGGCGATCGAGACGTCACAGGTCAGCTGACTAAGCGGAGGGGCTGAACTTGAGTGTCACTGAGACGGGCCCAGCAGGTTGAGGCTGCCGAGCCGGAGGGAGGAAGAAAGCCCAGCAACCGGATCTTTCCTGAGGAGGCTGAGATCCTGCACGTGGAGGAGGAGGCTGTAAGCTCGCACGTGAAGAAGGTGAGAGTGATACCCTGCCCATGGCTCAAGTCAAGTTCGCCTGCGGCAGTCTCTCTCCGCCACTTTCCCCTGCCCCGACCAAGACTACGACAGAAATTCCATCGTCTTCCTCCTCAGCCGCGAAGAGCAACACGCAAACAGAGTCGACGAGGCCTCGAGGCCTCCAACCACCAGCGACGGGAGCACGACGGTGCGTCAGAACTTTTGTGTTTGATTGCACTCATGCTGCAATGGCGTGCAGGAAAGCCTAAAAGAGAAAAGCGTCTTGCAACTTGAGGATGAAACTGTTCATCTTGACACAAGGTACGAGTCCTCCTCCTGCTTCCCCGATCTCTCTCCCCTTTGCTCGCTCCCTCCCTCCTGTTCTCTCTTCCTCTAACTTGTTTCGCTTCTGCTCTTAACAGACCTGAGGAGAGTAGTCAAGCAGAAGCTCGCACTGTCGATTCTCTCAGAGACTCTCCGCAGGAGGGGACAGGCCTTGTGCAAGGGCAGGCCACCAAGGCTCCAGTAGAGGTAGACGATGATAAAGAGATCGAGGATGTTGGAGGAGCGACGAGCGATGGGGATGACAGCTTCGACGAGATCGATCTCAAGTACCTGAACGCGTCCTTGATAGCCAAGATAAGGTCAGGTGCAGAAGTTACAATCAACGGCAAGAAAATATGATAAGAGTTTGAAATAAACAGTGGGATATGTTCAGTCTCGTTGATTTCCCTCCCTTATACTCTCTCATACATGTATAGGTTTTCCTATGGAGCTTTGCTTCCGAACAGCATGTTGTGCTTCCACCGCAAGACCTGCTCGTGTCTCGTCAATTCACAAGCATCCAGAAACACACCAACAGCACCTGCCCCATCGCGGGGTCGCGACTGCCATGGTACAAATCTTCCAGAAGGCTGCCAAACTCGCTTCTGAGAGCAGACAACTGCTGGCTGTCCTTAGGCGAAGCCTTGCCGCGGGGGTCAACCTGCTCTGACGGGAACCGGCGAGGCTCCTTCTCAGCTCTGGTCGAGGGCTCTGCTGATGGTCTGATGAGCTCCTGCTGGAGTCTGCCGTAGGGAGCGAAGTTGCCAGCCTCCATGGTCAACTTCTTGCGCATGAGAGTGACGAGGATCTGAAGTTGGAGGTCAAGGCAGAGCACAGGACCACTCCTCGTACCTCTCTTGGCCTCTCCGTTGGATCGGCTGGCCGTCGCTCAAATGTCATGGTGACTGGAGAGTTCTGAGGGCCCCGCAGCAAGTGCTGGATCTCTGTCAAGCTCTTTCCCAGCACGACCTGCCCGTCCACGTCGGAGAGATAATCTCCCACTGCGATTTTGCCGCACTCTCGAGCAGGTCCTCCCTGCCACCCAGTCAGTCAGTCAGTGCGGCTCTAGGGTGAGAAGAAAGTGAGGAACCTCGGCGAGGTACTCCACTACGAACTCCCCTCTCCCAGCTGACGCGAGAACAACGCCGACCCCAGCATCCTTCTTGCTCATGTCAGCGATCGACCGCGTCGATGGAGGGCTGTCGGATTTTGGGCTCAAACGCTGCCAGCACAACGTGAGAGGCTCTCGAGACAGGTCAGGACATACAGCTTCATCCTTGGGCGATCTTGGAGGGACCACCGAGCCAACCAGCGCCTCTACCGTCGGCTGCTGATACTCAAGCACCACGTGCAATGCCGCCACGTCCTGAACTGGCAGCTGACCCTTGTCGTCCATCAGCTGCAGCCATGAGTCTGATCTGCCGAGCATGACCACATCTGCTAGAGCGACGCTCTTGGTCTTGCCGAAGATCTTGAAATGCTCGTCACTCAGTGCTCCTGCATGACGAAGAAGAGGCGGGTGGAGGCGATCTGGTCGACATCCACTCCCAGCAGGAAGTTCTCTCGCCATACAAACCCGATGTCGCCGCTTGTTGGGATGGTTTTGCTCACAGGGTATATGAATCCATTTGCCTCCAGGAGAATCTCACATGACATCATCCTCGACCGGTCAGCTGCCTTCACTGACCCTTCGACCACTAAGATTGAGAATTTCCCCTGGTGCAGCGCTGGACTTGAAGAGATCGAAGGCCTGGAAGGCTCGTGGGTGGGGAGTGACGCACGCGCGTCTGCGTCCCCTTGCTCATGTCCGTTGGAGTCCGACGAGAGCGAAGGCAGGGGAGCCGTCTGAGGGAGCTCTGCCATCGTGCCACCCTTGCTGGAAACCTCAGGGGATGCAACAAGAACAGGGCTGTGGGCAGCACTCGTTTGCTCCTTGGCGGTGGGAACAAGATCGCTCGTCTGCTCCTCTCCTGCATAGTCGCCTCTTGTGGCGGGATCTTCTTGACCAGGGCTGCGCATGTGGGGATCATCCTTGTGTGCTGATTGCATGTCGGCCTCTCGCTGCTGTCTCTGCCTCTCTGCCTCCTCCTCCTCTTGTCTTTGTCGTTGCCTCGCCTCCTCCTCCTCTTGCCTCTGCCTCTCAGCTTCTTCTCGTAGCTTCCGCTCCGCCGCTTCCTCCTCTTGCCTTCGCTGCTCCGCTTCCTCTTGCTGCTGTCTCTGTCTTTGCCTCTCTGCCTCCTCTTGCCTCTGTCTTTCTGCATCCTCTATCCTCTGCCTCTCTGCCTCCTCCTGTCTCCGATGCTCTGCTTCCATCTCTTCATGTCTCTGTCGCTCTTTCTGCTCCTCCTGTTGTCTGTACCACTCGGCTTCCTCTTCTTCTTGGCGTTGTTTCTGTCTGGCAGCTTCTTCCTCCTGTCTCCGTTGCTCCTCCTCCTGTCTCAGTCGCTCCTCCTCTTGTCTCTGTTGCTCCTCCTCCTGTCTTTGTCTTTCAGCTTCCTCCTCCTGTCTCTGTCGCTCTTTCTGCTCCTCCTGTTGTCTGTACCACTCGGCTTCCTCTTCTTCTTGACGTTGTCTCTGTCTGGCAGCTTCTTCCTCCTGTCTCTGTTGCTCCTCCTCCTGTCTCAGTCGCTCCTCCTCTTGTCTCTGTCGTTCCGCCTCCTCCTCCTCCTCCTGCCTCCTTCGCTCGAGCTCCTGCTGGTGTAGTTCAGCTTCTCGCTGGAGCTGCTCAGTCTCATGTGCTGGCGGTTCAGATTGAGGAAGGTGCTTTTCTTCATGAAGCCTTGACTTCGCCTGGTCCTGGTCGGATCTCATCGACAGCTCCCCTGACGCTGAGTACTCGAAACTCAGGTGCACGAGGGGTTTCTCATTGCTGAGGTTCGCATCTGACCTGGGAAATGGTCTCAGGGTGAACAATTCATTCGCAGAGTGTGCAGTCTCAATGTCGCTTATGATCGCATCTGCCACGAGACTTGCTTGTTCTTGGGTTTTGGCGTCATGCACGGTGATTAGCAAGTCCACATTTTGACCGTTCAAGTCACAATTCTCGACGGATGAGACGTACTGTGGACCTCTCACTGCACCAACCCTCTTGACTTCGTTAAGTGTGACCTCGTGATACCACGCTTCATTAGAATGAATTGAAAGATTCCTGGACTTGAATTGTGGAGCTATCAAGACAGCACTTTCAGAAACCTGTTCATTGTAGTCCAACGTGTGGAATATCTCCTTTGAGTGTCTCCATTCATTTGTTTCCGAAAGAATTGAGACGCAGATGAAACAAGACTCCAAATTTGTTGCAAGACTCTGAAAGTTTTTGGACCCGTGAATCCTGATCACAAATGAAGCATTGCCCTGCCCTTTCAATCCTGAGTTGAGTTGGTCATCCATTCCCGTTTTCTTGGTCAAACCATTTTCCAAGAATTGTTTCGTCTGAGATTGGCTGTTTTCAATGGATAGGATAAGACTTTTAGGTGGTGGTTTCCAGGAGAATGTTTTGAGCTGATGATTTACATAGAACTTCCTGCCAGATTCTGAATCTTTCACTCGCTGCCAACCTGGAGGTAATTCTTCTGCTTCTGACTCATCATGAAGGTTTTGGCTGAGCATTGATGATTCTTGCAATCTTGATTGAGATCGTTGTGCACCATACGCTATCCTGAATCGAATTGAAGAGACTCTTCCAAGTTCATCGCATATTTGACTCCCATCACGATTTTGCAACACAAACCATTGGTCGACAGGTTTGCCGATTCCAATGTGGGGAACCACAATACGCCCGATGAAAGCATCATCTCCTGCTCTATGAACTGTCATAAGTAAGAGCACAGCATTTCCATCGAGATGCCTGTCGTCAGAGGCACTCAGTATCTGATTGCTATCATGCAGTCGTTCCAACATGGTGATATCTGGAAACGTGCTATGAAAGGTGAAGGAAGAATTCCATTCGCAATGTTGGAACACTTTGACAGCAGGTGTCTGGTACTGCGGTTTCATCCTATAGAAGAGATTGTCGTCAACGTCTTGTCCATAATGATGGTCAATCAGGAAGAAATGCTTCTTCTCCATCAATGTAGGGTTTTGAATCAAAGAGGCACAAACGTAAACATCCTTCTCGTCGTAGATTCTCGGAAAGTTTTGCGCTTGGATCACCTCGATGTAAAAGGCAAACAACCCTTCTGATTTAGCAGTCATGGAGGTGTTGATACTGACATCTTGAATTTGCTGTGCTCTGTTAGAGGCATGGTGGCCGTTGTTCATCTGTAGGACATCAAGGGATATTGTAGGACTCTGAAGGAATTCAACGGAGTTGACAGTGCCGTAGTGAATGCGAAGTCTCAGCGTTGAAGGCTCTCCGGAGCTGCTGCGGAGCTGGTTGCCGTCTTGGGCTTGCAGCATGAACCATTGTTCAACTGGAACGCCGAGCCTGATGTTGGGAAGGATGACGCGGCCTAAGAAATCATTCTTGCCTGCCTTGACATGTCAGCACGAGTTCGATCGGAGGAGCAGCACAGAGGCATCGGCACCTGCATCCGTAGCTCGTTTGTCATGGACAGTGATCATGACTAGCACAGGCTGCCCATCGAGGGGGACGGCTTCATCGGGGTACGAACCCTTGGCCACGGAAGTTTCTATGGCTTCAATACTCGGGTGAGTGCATGGGAAGGTGACTCCTTCGTTCCAGGCTGGATTTGAGCTCGAGGGATAACGGTTTGTAACATGCAGCGGCCTCACGGAGATGAACCTGCTATCGTTGGCGCGCGAGCCAATGCCGTGGTCAATGGCGTGAAAGTGTCGCTGCTGCATGAGCGAGGGCTTGTCGACGATGGAGACACAGACAAATGCGTCTGGATCTCCTTCTACCTCACTCCTGGACAAGTTCTGTGCCTCTAACAGAGTCACATTCAGTGCACATGAGTTCGCTTGCTGTGGTGTTGGCACAGGGACCTCTTCCGCTTCCATCTTTCTGAATTCTAGCTGCAAGACAAGCCTCCCCTCAGCTCTGAGTCGGGACTTGTGGGTCTTTCCTTGTTTCACGTCAAAGTCCTGCATGATGATCTCCCCTTGATAGGGGATGAGTTTGGCAAGATTCAAAATGCATTCGCCTGATCCGAGGGTAAGAACAAACCAGAGTACAGTGAACAGACGAATTCTCACCGAGAAAACTTTCCTCGGGATCGCCATTGATATCCCACAAGGTAACTTCTAATTGCATCTCATTGGCGTCAGCAACTGCTATCTGAAAATCCTGTTCAAACACAGGATCTCTTGTCCCTATACAGACTCGAGTCTCCCATTGACTCTGCTCTAGTGCAGGAGGCAAGCGGATGCGCCTCAATCTCAACTTCACCTGCACATCCGGCTGCGAGAGCAAAGTCACTTCATCACAGAAGCAGCTGCTCACAGCTGATGGAAGCGCTGGGATTGATCAGAGGCATTTGAGTGAAAAGAAGGCGGAGAAAGGGAGAGAGGAAGGGACAACCAGAAGGTGCATGGTAGAGGAGGAGGAGGAGATCTTCATGTTACCGCTTGTCCCGAGGAGCGCGTCCGTAGTGCTGACGCCCGCGCCACGGTGAGCAGCAGGACGCCTGGCGACGGCATGGCGGGTGAAAGCCACACAGGGGCGGGAGAGTTTCAAAAGGAGGGGTACCTTCACTGAGGGGGTCCTGGGGGTGGGTCGTGGATCGTATAGGAGGATACAGCAGGATACTGGGGGATGGGTGGGTAGGGTAGTCATGGTTTGGGGATCGTGGTGGGTAGTAGGGATGAGGTGGATTGGCTCACCACCGGTCACTCGGTAGTCTGCGAGAAGTCGGAGGGTAGGGGTACGTGGACCTTTCCACCAGTATGAACATGAAGCATTGAAGGATGAAGGGGGGTGATATTTATAGTCAGAGAGGGGTAGTCATGAACACCTGGGGTAGTCCTTAGCCATGAAAGGTCCGTGGGGGGTGGGGTACAGAAACGGTTGGGGGCCCTGAAAACGAGTCTGAGTGGAGGTTGTAGGTAGGGGTAGGTAGGCAGAAGGGGGTAGGACAAGATGGGGCATGGGGGTAGGGTCCGAGGGGTGTCGGGATCGCATTCAGGAAATTCCGTCTAAGTGAACTGTAGCAGGCAGAAGGGAGGGAGGGAGGGAGGGAGGGAGGGAGGGAGGGTGAGGAGGAGACGAATACTACCTATTTTGTTTCGATTTGGTGATGCAAGAGAGTCAAGCAGAAGGAGTGAAAAGAATCATTCACTCGTGAACGAAAGCTCGTTGTAATCTTCAAGAATTTCATTATGATCCACGGAAAAATCAGTGTTAAACACAAGACTACTGACGTGAGATCGCTATCGTTGAGTGAGCCGGACCAAGTTTGCGTAGATGCTGTCGGGCGTGAGGGTCCTCAGCAGCTCCTCGTGTGTTCCCAGCTCCACCACTCTCCCAGCTGATATGCCGGCAATGCAGTCAGAGCTCTGAATGGTAGAGAGGCGATGAGCGATGACGAGGGTGGTCCGTCCTATTGAGGCCTGCGCGAGTGCCTCCTGCACCAGACGTTCGCTCGCGGTATCCAATGCCGACGTCGCCTCATCGAGCAGCAAGATCTTGGGGTCTCTCACCAGTGCTCGGGCTATCGCTACCCTCTGCTTCTGCCCTCCACTCAGCTTCGACCCTCCTGTACCGCACTGGGTCGCGTAACCCTCCGGGAGCTTGGAGATGAAGTCATGGGCGTTGGCCTTGCGGCAAGCAGCTTCACAATCCTCCATGGTCAGAGTGCCGTCAGCCTTCCCGTACTGAATGTTGTCGAAGATGCTGCAGTTGAAGAGCACGGGCTCTTGCGAGACCACACCGAGGATGCTCCGGTACCAGTTGAGGTCCAGCCGTGAGACGTCTGTCCCATCCAGCAGCACAGTTCCGCTGAAGGGGTCGTAGAAACGTTGAACCATCTGATCCAGCTCTCAGGAGTTGCTGGGTTAGAGCAGGACGAGTTCAAGTCACCTGGATGAGGGTGCTCTTGCCGCACCCGCTCTCCCCGACTAGCGCCATGATGCTGCCAGCAGGTACCTTGAGCGTTAGGCCCTGCAGCACCTTTGCTTCCGGCCGCGACGGGTAGCTGAAGTGGATGTCGACGAAGTCGATCTCTCCCCGCACCTGATCCAGGCGTTCGCCATCGACCTAACGCAGAGGCTGTCAGCGAAGGAAGCACGTTGATGCCGCACTCGCCCTCTCCTCGTCCTCCTTCGTATCCAGCAGACTGAAGATCGACTTCACTGCAGCCGCCACCTTGTTGGCGTCAGGAGCGAAGGTCAAAGCTTCACCGAGCCCCATGCATGCGAGGACGATGCCCCAGAAGGCCTGCAAGGAGCTGAGAAATGTCGCTCGCTGCTGCTGGGCTCACCTGCATCATCTGCCCGAAGCCGTAGCTCGTGTTGAGCGCAACCTCGCACACTGAGAAGTCTGCATACTGCGAGCTCGCGACGAGCTCTGGGGCAGGCTGGGTCAGGAGGCGCTGACTCAGCACCGGTCTCACCTTGGCAGGTGACCTGGAGCTCCGACTCGCTCAGCCTCCACTCCATGCTGGCGACGAGCTTCCCTCCGTACCAGAAGCCCAACGCGTAGACCCAGTACTGCACCGCCTGCGAGCACCCGAAGGCACCGCCGGCCAGGTTGGCCTTGCGGATGCCGCGGCGGAGGGAGGCGGAGAGACTCTCCTCGTAGCGCTTCATGAAGCTCTTCTCCAGGGTGAAGGCTGCAATCGTCCTACGATTCTCAAGGGTTTCACTCAGCACCTGAAACTAGGTCATGGCGCAAGAAGAGTGAAGAATTTAGTAGGACCGAGGCCGAGGAGTCATCCTTGGTGTCTTCAAGTCCGTGCATCATGAGGGTCTGCTCCACGAGAACTCCCAAGGTCATGATGGGCAGGCAGGCGATGACAACCAGCGACAACTTCCAGCCCGCGACTAGTCCGACGACGATGCCTGATGCATGCCATGAGCGAGCAAGGGGGAGGAGTCAGGGAGGAGGGAAAGTCTGAGGAGGAGGAAGAAAGGAGGAAGAAGGGGAGGAGGAAGAAGGGGAGGAGGAAAAAAGAGGAAGAAGGGAGGAGAATTCAGTAGAGGACCGGAAACGAGCGTGACAAGGTTGCCGAAGAAGAGTCCTAACTTCTCTGCGCATGCTCCCTTCACCTGTCCAAGGGATCAGACAAAACCTCAGCCGCCATCCAGCAGACCTCGTTGGCTTCTACAGCAAGTCTGGAGCAGAGAGCTCCGCTGCTGTTCTTGAGCTCGTCAAAGTAGGCGATCTTGAGCGTTAGCATCTGCGATGCGTGTGAAGGAGGAGGAACAAGAAGAGTCCTGCTTGATGAGACAAGGACGACGAAGATGATGATGAGGCAGAAGCAGAGGGAAACGAAGTCTGAGAGACATGCGGGAGAGTGTCGAGCAGGGAGGGAAGGGGGGGGGGGGGGGAGGATGATGATGGTGATGGTGGTGGTGGTGGTGGTGATGATGATGATGACGACGACGACGATCAACAATGAATACGATTATGATCTTGATGATGGTGATGATGATGCTGAGGAGCAAGAGTTCAGACATTACCTTCCTGAAGCTCGCATCCCTTAATCTTCTCGTGAGTCGTTCGCCAACAACAGAGAAGAGAGCGAGTTGTCCTACTTTACAGCAGCCTGCAGTGATCCCAAGAATCGCGAGCGCGATGGCTGAAGCTGATACGTTCGAACTAACCTGTTCCACGTTCCTTCATCTCCTCCTCCTCCTCCTCCTCCTCCTCCTCCTCCTCCCTCCTTTCTCTTCCTCCTGTACCTTGCTAGTTCCTTCAGCTCCTTGAAGTCCCGTCATGGCACGAGAAAAGAACAAGGCAAAGATGGGATATGCGCAACCATAACCGCCCGCAAAGAGGATGCCAAGAATGACAATCTGACGAGTTTTCAGACCCACTACCTCTTCTGACCTCTCCTCCTGTCCTATATTATCCTTCTCTCCCTCTACCCTCCCCGTACCTAATCCCCTGCTTCCTGTTCCTCCTCCGCCGCCCCTCCACTCCTTCGATCTTCTCGCCTCTCCCGCCTCTCCCTCTTACCCCCATCTCAGGACGATTATACGACAACAGTCGCCACGTGCCCACAGAAGGACCTGATGGTAGACAAAATGCGTCAAGTGGCGAAGAAAATGGCAAGAGCGATGAAAGAGGAGGAGAGAGAAGAGGAGAGAGAGAGAGAGTGAGCAAACATCGTAAAGAAGCTCTCGATCTGTTCGGGCTGACCTTCGGATCTTGTCTCTTCCAGGTTCTCCTCTTCCTTGTTCTCCTTCTGCAGCGCGGCAAACGACTCGCTTGCTATCTCGTCGAGCTCAGTCACATTCTCGCCACAGGTCTGGATCTCAGACTCTTCTGCCTGGGTGGAAGCAACCGAACCCAAGCTGAAGACTGAGTCTTTCCTCGCATCTCCTGCAGCTGCTGCCTGTGAAATGCACGTCACTTGCAAGCAAAGCAAACCCGCACTTCCTCCCCGCACATGGCCTCATCGTTCCTCGCTTCCTCCTTCTCCTCCTCCTCTGTCTCTTCTCACTTCCTTCTCATCCCTTCCTTAATTGCCTCCTCCTCTCCTCCCTCTCTCTCCACCTGTCTCTGGCACATCTGAGCATAGAGCCTGTCGAGCTCCAGAAGCTCCGCGTGCTGTCCGATCTCCACGACCCTTCCAAGCTGAACCACAGCTATCTGATCGGCATCGCGGATGGTGGAGAGTCGGTGAGCGATCACCAGCGTCGTCCTGCCATGGGCCGCGCGATCTGCGAGGAGGTCAGAGAAAAGGAAAGGAGCTTCCCTGCTCACCCAGCGCCTGCTGCACGACTTTCTCACTCGCCCCATCCAAGGCAGAGGTCGCCTCGTCGAGCAGGAGGACCTTGGCTCCTCTCACGATCGCTCGAGCTATGGCGATCCTCTGCTTCTGCCCCCCGCTCAGCTTCGCTCCCCTCTCTCCGCAGGGAGTGTCGTATCCTTGGGGGAGCTTCATGATGAATCGATGCGCGTTAGCATCTCGAGCAGCGGCCTTGACATGCAAGTAACTTGAGGGCGAGAAGAACAGAACCAAGTGCAAGGGACGAGCAAGACTGAGGCTGAGGATGTAAAAACGAATGATGGGAAGAATATTGAGGCGAATGAGTATGAGCATGATTATGAGTATGAGTATGAGTATGAGTATGAGTATGATTATGAGGGGGGGATATTCGCTTATTACCTCAACCATCTCTCTGCTGACGGCTCCTCCTTGCTTACCCATGGCGATGTTGTCCAGGATAGAGCAGGCGAAGAGCACAGGCTCCTGTTCAAAGTCAAGAGACAGAACTTGGGAGGGAGGTAGAAGGAAAGGAGGGAGGGAGGGGAGGGGAGAAGGTGAGAATGGAAGGAAGGGGAGGGAAGGGGGGCGGGGGGGGGGGGGGGCGGAACCTGTGAGACAAGGCCTATTTGCTTCCTGAGCCACTCGATGTTGAGCGAGGAGATATCAACTCCGTCAAGCTCGATCCTCCCCGCTGTGGGCTCGTAGAACCGCTCGATCAGCTGGATCACGGTGCTCTTTCCGCTCCCGCTCTCCCCCACCAGCGCCGTCGTCTTGCCCGCGGGGATTTCGAGGGAGAAGTCGTTGAGAACCATCACCTCCTTCCTCGAGGGGTAGCAGAACGCGACGCCCTTGAACGACAGATGCCCTTCCAGCTTCTCCAGCTCCTTTCCCTCCTTTGAGAGCACGTTGCTCTCCGATCGCCGGGCAAGCATGTCGAAGATGTTCCTTGCGGCTGCTCGGCCGAGAAGGATGGCGGTGACGGGAGCCTGCACTTGCCCCAGACTCATCGCTCCCAGCAGGAGAGCGAAGGTGACAGTGATGACGTCACCAGCGTTCCAGGGTTGGCCTGTGTAGGTAGCCTTGACCTGGTTGGCAATGAGATAGCCTCCGAACCACATGGTGAAACCGAAGAAGGCAAAGATGATTCCCGTCGACAGGCCGAAGCCGATGCCGTTCATCAGCCCTCCTTTGATCCCGGACTTCTCTGCCGTCACGAGCGACTCCCCGTACTGGCGGCCCACGACCGTCCCGATCCCCAGCTGCTTCACCGTCCGGATGTTGCTCAGAGACTCTTGGGAGACGACGGCAGCGGCCGAATATGCGGCCAGGGCGCTCGTCTGCGCCCTCCGCATCATGATGTCCTGGAAGACGAAGGCTCCTATCAGCACCGGCAGGCTTCCAAGGATGAACAGCGAGAGCTGCCATCCCATGACAAAGCTGAGGATGAGAGCGGAAATGAAGGTGACGCTGTAGTGCACAGTCTTCCCCACGTTCTCACCCATCGAGCTCTGCATCTGCTGGGTCTCCATGGTGATCTTTCCTGACAGGGCTGACATGTCATGCTCGTCGAAGTAGCCTATGCTCTGACTCAGAATCGCTCGCAGGTACGCGCCCTTGACCCGAGTTGCTTGCCGGAACCCCGAGGCGCTCCACCACCCCACCTCCACGTAGGAACAGAAGAACGCTGCCAGGCCCACCAGAGCGAACTGAATCGCGACCGTGTTGACTCGCTCCGAGAGACTGCGCTGGATGCTCTCGGACGAGGAGGCATATTGACTGCCCGACAGGACCTGTACCAGATCTCCCAAGAAGAAGGAGAACATGGTGAGCAAACAACCATTCGCAATGGCACCCAGAGTCCCCAAGGACATCAGCAGCATGTCGACCATGTCAGCATACTTGAACAGCTCCATGAAGGACGCTTTTTCGACCACCGGATCACCAGCTTCAGCCAACTTCTCCACCTTGACATCGTGATGATCTTGCATGCTCGTCATTTCCAGGTCGTCCTGAGCGGAGAACACGATAGTCGCTCCTGACATCGCTCTATCGCCCTGCTTCTCCCTCTCTTCCCTCCCTCTCTCCCTCGCTCCCTCCCTCAAGTACTTCCCTCTAACAACTCTTGCCCCTTTTAAATGTTTTTTCCCCAAGTTTGCACGATTTGCACGGGGCTGTAAAACAAAAAAAATATTTTCCCCTTGTACCATTATTATTTTAATAATCAACAATAACTCTAAAAATTATTTTATCATTATTGTGATTATTATTATTGATACAACGATGGTAAAGATCATATTGAACAATGAGTAAAATATCAGAGCTTACAGTACAGTTTTTTTGTACCATTAAACGCCAGGCTGTCCACAATTTCAACATGGTCCTACAAGATTTGTAATCTACATTGAACTCAGATCAAAATTTGACAATTATTGACGAAATTTGGGGACAAAAATTGAAATGTAGTACCGAGCCCCCCTCAATTCGAGCAAGTGCAAGTTGAGTTATAAAAAATCGGGCCCAACTGTGACTCCGACGGTCATGTCCCGGGTACGAGGCAACGCCCGGACCAACAGGTAGAGATCTGACAGTGGGGTGGGGGTGGGGGGTGGTCGAATCAGGTAGGCTCTGGTAGGGTTCTCCATGGGGGGTAGTGAGAAGGTGTAGTTTGGGAATGAACGGGGTGGAAGGTTTGCGATCTGGGGGTGGGTGACAAACGAGGGTGGTATGTGGTGGTGGTCGGGGTCATTTTGAATGGCAGGGTGGGTGGTCCGGTAGATAATGCACGGGAATGGTAAGGTGATTTTGGGGAAAGGTACCGGTGGTACTCGAGTTTCTGAGGTTGCGGAGGAATGAAATTCTCTAACAGGGTGGGGGTACTGCAGTTTGTGCTAAAGGTGAGGAAGAAGTCAGGAAAAAAGGGGGTAGGGGTGGGTATACGTCGTGATATGGAGGGGTAAGGGTATATGTTGCAGGAGAAAGAGTGGGTAGTTGCAAGGAGATTCAAGGGGAAAACTTGGGGGTGGGGGTGGTTTTCAAAAAACCCTGGAACACAGGGGGTTGGGTAGGAATTTGGGTAGGAGGAATGGGGCGCTGAGAGACGAGGATGGGGGAGCTCAACGGGGAAAAGATGCAGGGGAGGAGAGAGAGAGGATTGGGAGGAGGATGTTATGCGGTTGAAATGATGAGAAAGTGAGTAGACGATGACAAGAGGATACATGAAGGGTAACGGGAAGGAAGAACACGAGAAAGTTACCTCGAGTACCAGAATCGTGGTTGAGCAATTCGCGAGAGATAGATAGGAGGAGAGAAACTGAGACGAGAGGCGTGAAACAAGGGCAAAGGAAAGGAAGACGCTGCCTCAGAGAGCATGAGAGGGCTGACAAGGAGGGAGGTTGGGAGGGAGGTTGGGTGGTGAGTAGAAGAATGGGGGATGAAGGGGACAATTTAGTATAAGAAATACAGCAACTGTGTTTGAGATATGTTGCTCTACCAGATCATGTGATTGTACTTATGGTGTTGAAACAAACAGTCTGCTTCTCTAGCTGCTTCTGTAGCTGACATGCGTGGCTGATGGCTAACCACCTCTTTTGAGCAGAAGTTGCAGCGGGATGAGCTCGCTTCACCTGGCCCACCTCATGCTCATGCTGTTTGTAGCCCAGATAGACTTTGGGCAGAGCTGGCTGATGATGACGAGTGGAGGATCCTGCCGTGTGTTGTCAGGTTTCTGCTTGGCTTCCAAACCTCCTCTGCTCCATATGAATCATGTAAGGCGTTCATGGACCTCTTCAGGCAGAGCTTCGCTTCAAGTGGTGAGAAACCCGCGCCTACGAGGAGGAACGGTCGAGGTTTCCTCGAAAGGCAGCAAGCTCCTTGCAAGCGCATCCGACTCTTCGGAGCCAGAGGAGATCGTACGGATTCATGAAAGCAACGAGCTTGAGGACTATCCCACAAGTGAGAACATTGCTTCAGAGCCGCTTCCCTTCTACTCCCCCGAGAGCGACGAGTGGCCGATGGACTACTTCGGAGAGAGCACGCGAGGAGACCTCCTTCCCTCGGAAAACTTCTTGAAACCGGAGATGATCATGTCTAAGGACGAAATCATCAACATATGTCAAGATCTTGGATTGGACAGGGTGAGCTCCTACATCAAGCATCCTCTCTCTTCTTGTTCCTCCGCCCTTGCAACCAACATTGACCATGATCTCATCCTCTTTGCGTCTGCCCCCCCATTCCGCATGCCCTGACGTTACCTGCTGCGTTGGCTCACTCTTCCTTGCAGTGGGGTACACCTAAAACCTGGGGTCTCCCAGCTCAGCCCCAACGATCCATTTTTTGCAGCCGAACGCTCAATCTTCGCAGCATCCGATGCATCGGCTACGACATGGACTACACGCTGATCCACTACAAGGTGACCGAGTGGGAAGGGCGAGCTTACCACTACGCCAAGGAGAACCTGAAGCAGGTTGGCTTCCCGGTCGATGACCTTCACTTCAACCCGGAGCTCGTCTGCCGAGGTCTCATAATCGACAAGTCCCTCGGCAACATGGTCAAGGTTGACCGGTTCGGGTACGTGAGGCGAGCAATGCACGGGACCCGCCGACTGTCTCACCGGGAGACGCATGAGATCTATGGGAGGCAGCTGGTGGACCTGCGGGAAAAGCGATGGCTGTTCCTCAACACGCTCTTCTCTGTATCGGAAGGATGCTTGTATGCACAGCTGGTGGAGATGCTGGACTCGGGGGGACTGAAGATCCCGACGGAGTCAGGCGACTACATGCAGCTCTCCTACGAGCAGCTCTTCAACGCTGTGTCCAAGGCCCTGTTCAAGGCGCACGTGGAAGGGAGGCTCAAGGCTGACGTTATGAGAGACCCTGAGAAGTACGTGGAGTTTGACAGGGAAGTGGCTCTCACTCTCCTGGATCAGAGGGAGGCAGGCAAGAAGCTAGCGCTCATCACGAACTCGGACTGGGAGTACACCAAGGTGATGATGGCGCAAGTGATAGATCGGTTTCTTCCCAAGGGCATGACGTGGAGGGAGATTTTTCACGTCATCATCGTGTCTGCGCGCAAGCCCGCGTTCTTCTCTCAGAGCATGCCCCTATACGAGATCGTGACGGAGGATGGGATGATGAGGGAGAAGTTCAGGATGAAAGAGGGGAGGATCTACTCGGGGGGAAGCGCGAGCATGGTTGAGAAGCTGTTCAACTGTGAGAGGGACGACATCATGTACATCGGCGATCACATCTTCACGGACGTCAACGTTGCGAAGCTCTATATGCGATGGAGGACGGCTCTTATCGTCCGTGAGGTGGAGGAGGAGGTGGTCGCGATGGATCGCGGAAGGCAACACACCCAGGAGCTGCACAGTCTGATCAAGAGCAAGGAGCAATGCGCCAACATCCTCAACCACATCCGTACTGAGCTCCACCGATACCGCGGGCTAGGACTCAAGTCCTCCCTGTTCAATGCCTCCTCGGAGAAGGTCAGCCTCCCCCTTAGCCTTCCCCCTCCCTTCCCATCCGTCTCTTTGACGTCTCCAATCTGACAAGTCTGCTGGGCAGGAGCTGTACGAGACCATGGGGAGGCTGCTGGGGACGATGGTGGAGTATGACAACAAGATTGCGCCCATGTTGTATCAGGAAGGGTCTCACTTCAACCCCTACTGGGGCTACATCAGCCGAGCTGGTTATGCCGACAAGTCGCACCTGATGCGGCAGATCGAGAAGTACGCTGACGTCTACACGTCTCGCGTCTCAAACTTCCTCCGGTAGAACCTTCTTCACTACTAAGTCCTCCCATCCCCTCCCTCCCTTCCATCCTCCCTCTCCTGCCTCTTCTCTTCTACTTCCCGTCCCTTCCACTTGCCTGCCCCTCGTTGTTTATCTGACTTCTGACCTTCACTGCAGCTACACGCCCTACATGTACTTCCGGGCTTCGAAGCAATCCCTTGCTCATCATCGCAACTTGGATCAGTACCGGCAAGAGGTGAAAACTTTTCCCGCTCTCACGTTATGCTTCCTCCTTCCATACTGTCTTCACTTCTCCTCCTTCAACAGTCCTCACTGTCTCCTCCTGCTGGCAGTGCACTCCCTCGGGTTTCTCACTCCCTCCCCACTTCCATTCTCTCCACACTCTCCCATTCCTCATCCTCCCCTTCTTTTCACGAGAGCTGCCACAGGTCCCCGCAAGCGTGCTTGAGCGCATCGACATCTACCCAGAGGAGAGGAGGGAGCGAGCGCGACTTGCCGAGGGAGTTCTTGACGAAGTTCCATCGGCTGACTCTAGAGCATCGGACTCGCGCGAGGGCTACGTGGACCCAATCTGCCGGGAGATGCCCCCAGCATACCCCGGGCAGACCTCGGGGTCAGCAGTGGTGGTGGTGGAGGGGTCGGACGGGAGCACGGGGATGTGGGAGATGTCCAACACAGAGTTCGGGCATCAGATCGAGAGATCGGGGATCCCGTCGCTAGACAACGTGGCAGGAGGAGCAGTGAGGGAGCAAGAGCCGGAGGTAGAGAACTCCTACTGGAAGCGGAGGCAGGGGAGCAACTCTAACGACGAGTTCGACGACTGGGATCTTAACAAGTCGGTGGATCCGATTCAACCAAGATGAGTTGCAGCCCAGGTTGTGCATGTGTATTAAAGTCATGAGACGAGACCCTTGGGCCCGCCCCCGACCCCTTTCACTTGTTAGAAAGGTGCTTCACTTTCATGCAAGGAAAAACTTGAAACCTTAAGGCGGTGTTTGTAGTGTCAGCCATCCCTTCCCACTCTCCTCTCGTTCTCTCCAGTGTTCCTTCTGTCCTCCTCTGTCCTCCCTCCTCCTGCGCTCACTCCCTCACTTCTTGCTTAACAAACTTCCTCGTGCTTTTCTTCTGTCTTGCTCCTCTCCTGTATTCAAGTCTGTTGCGAGTTCCACCGCCCCATCGGATGCAGACTTTTTCATTGATCCGATGGAGAATCAGCGGGCAATTCATCGCTCGACTGTGAACCTGCAAGAGGAGTCGTGAGACTGCGTGCTGAATGAATGTCCCTCTCACCTTGAAGCCGAATGTCCAGAATCTCAAAGTCGTACGAGACAATCTTCTGCTTCATGTAGGAGTAGCTGGCTCAAAAGTAAGCATGTGCGAGAGGAGGGAGGAGGGAGGAGGGAGGAGGAAAGAGAAGGAAGATGGTGCAAATGTGCAAAAATGGGGAAGATAGGGAGACAGGACGAAGGAGAGCAAACACACAGACACATCAAGATGAAAGAAGCAAACTGAGGGGTCGAATCAGACAAGGCAGGACAGAGAGGAAGGAGGCGTGCCATCCATGAAACTCTCCACCTGTTGTCCAGGGTCATGTAGACTGTTCCGTCCTCGACACACTGGAGACTTCCCCTCTGCCAGTCAACAGTTGAGCTCACGATACGATGAACTCCCACCTTCACAAACCTGTAGCGCCGCTACCCTCTCGCTCCCCGACTCAAAGAGGATCTCTGACTTGGAGCTTGCAGCAGCAACGAACTTCACTTGCAGCCCGACGTCCAACGCATCGGGACAAGCACACCTTCACTAGACGTCATGCTCTCAGGAGCGAAGTAATCACTTGGTCTACCATAACAGAGTCTGCCCAGCCCTGACTGTAGCCTGCACAACTTTCTTGTCTCTGGCTGGGACGGTGACCTGCTCAAGGATCAGAGCGGGCTGGATAGAGGGTTCTACTTCAGCGCCTCACCTTTGCCCACTTCTCCATCTCATCTTCTCCTCCTTCTAATCCTTCAGGCAACGCCCCTCCGAACAGGCAAGCGTGGTACTGCCTCAACGGTCAACGGGTGCCCTCCCCAAGCAGCCATCACCAACCTGATCTTTATCGGCATGGTTGACGAGGATTGCTTCATACTCTTCCCTCGATCCGAGAACTGCAAGCTTGTGCTGGGATCGTGCTGGAACCACTGCAACCACCCGGTCAGTCTCCTGGCCCCCAAGAGCTCGCAGCCATACCTTGACGCAAGACTCCTCTCACGACTGTGGCGAACGGGCAGTTGAGGATGAGAACTTTGTCTGCCATCTCCACGTAGTTTGCTGACACCTCACGGACCACCTTCATCCGTGTCACAACCTTATCCCCCAACCGAAGACAACCTTGCGCAGCATCCCAATGGGCCCTGTGGCAAGGTGATGCATCCCCAGCCCCTAGAAACGAGTCACTCTCCTGCTGCTCGCACGCTCAAGGCACCTTGAGATCATGGATCTCCAGCGCACGGAACATGATGCCGGTCTCCGCCGTCAGCTGCGACAGCGTAATGAGCTTGTGCTCCATCTCGTATATGATGTAGAGCCGAATCTCTTCCAGGGTCACGGCCTGCAACGCAAGTCTGTGAGCCACCACAGGCAACTTCGATCTAACTGAACCTTGACAAGCTTTGCAGGATCAATCAGGCCCGTCAGCGTGATCATGATGGGGCTGCCGTTCTTGTCTTTCCCTGTCTTCAGCAGCGGGTAAAATCGACGAACAGTCTCGTAGCGGGGGAACTGCTCTGGTTTCAACCCTCCCATTATCTTCTTTCGGATATCGTTGATGTTGTTCTTGGTACGCCAGTCAAGCATCTCTATCACAGCATCTGCTGCGGTTTGAGGGTTCTTCTTGAACCCTATGAAGAACCGAAGCAACAGAGCGTCCTCCCAGTCCTCTGGCACGCTCTCGCGATCCATGGTCACTCCCTTGTTGGCGATGATCTCACGTATCTTGTCGATAGACTGCTGGCCTGTCATCCCGTTCTCCCATGTTCTGGTCAGCAGGTTTTCCAGCTTGAAGTCAACAGCATGATTCTGGTGCGGAACCAAAGGGTTGGGATTCGCCATGTTGGATTTGTTCAGTACCTTTTAGCACATAATATCACAACCCTGAAATTTCAGGTCTCTCAAAAGGTCTTACCTACTGCTCGTGTCTGCAACCAGCGGCTAAACTGTTGTCAGGATTGAAGTTCCTGCGCCACCAGCACCTGCTCTGATTGACGGGGAGGTGTGAGGTGCGGTACGTGTGTTGGGATGATCTAAAGGCTTCCACCGAGTGTTAGCACATATACTCAAGTGAGAGCAAACAAGATCAGAGAACGAGATGCTCGAAGAACGAAGGTGAGTGGGACAAAGTCAATGCCGGAATCGAGGTACGCCAGTTGTTGCAGTAATGCAGCAAGGCCAATTCCAGTCGCTGCTGGCTGGTTCGATCCAAGGAACCAGGAGGAGAGGACGTCGATGAGATAGGAAGGCGGGGAGGAGAAGGAAGCAACAGGAGGAGGAGGAGGAGAAGGGGGAGGAGGAGGAGGAGGAGGAGGAGGAGGTGGAGGAGGAGGAACGGGGGCGGAGGGGGGCGGTGGGGGTTTGGAGGATGGAGGAAGCCAGCGGTGCACGGGAGAACTTCATCAATATGGGGTAGGGGTAGTGAAAACTAGGGGTAATGATTTTTGAATGGAGGTAGGGGTGATTCAGACAGTGGGTAGGGTACTGAAATTTTACCCAGAGATGGGGTTAAAGATCTTTTGAAAAATCAAGGTAGGGGTACAAGACTGAGACAGTAGGGTGTATTCATAACGGGTAGAATGTACAACATGTATGGTGGGTACATCAAACAAGGGGGTAGGGTATTCTTTGATATATGTAGCGATTGAGCGATTCGGTGGGGTAGTCGAATGACTTAGTAGGGGGGTGATAGGGTATAGCACTCAGTCTAAGTACGGGTGGCAAAAACTAAGTACGGGTAGTTAGCACAAATTCACAGGACATTTGAGAGGCAGGTAAGCATGATGTTGAAAATTTCATTGAGCCTGAAAGGAAATTATTGGATGTAGGGTTGCTCCATTCGACTCCACAAAGTCAGGGTCCTTTCAAGGGGGTATGAAGTGTGAATCACCTCTAGGGTAGTGCATCCATACAAAGGGGGTGGTAAAGCGGAAGAAGAGGGTGGGCTGCATTTGAGTAAACATGAATCCAAGTAAACAAGGAAGACAGAACCTTTCCACCCTATAGCTCTCATTGCTGCCCTTCCTGTCCACTCGGACTGCCGCGCGACTCGCCGGTCACACGGTCGGATCATCGGATCAGTCGGACGGTGGCGGCAGTGGCCCGATCGGACGGAGCCTCCGTGAGTCGGACCCGGTCACCCGCCAGTCGGACCGCGGCCCCGGCCCCGGCCCGGCCGGGCCAGGCCCGTTCGGGTGTCCGATCATGGCGGAATACTAGACTCCCGCACACCGGACCCCGGGGCTTAGGTGGCCGCCGCGACCGTACCTTCCGAGTTCTTTACTGGCAGTACTCAAAGTTAAGTTAAGCCGACCGTCCGATCCTGGCACGGTGCCGCCACGGTGATCACCCGGCTTGCAACGGCGTCTCAGGTGATCCGACCGTACTTGCAACTTGTGACGCATCCGCCGCCGGGGTGAGGGCCAGGATCCGAGCCGAGGCCCCGCTGAGGCTTTCGCCGAGTCAGCTCAATGGCATCCCTGTCCGGGCCGAGGCTGAATCCGGGCCATCATCATGCCATGATGGCCGCGATGATGGGCACGGTTCCAGAGTGCCATCCGATCGGATCATGATCCGATGATCGCGGCCCGGGTCACCCGGTGCCTTCCGGTACTACTAGGCTACCGTACGGTCACGATGCACGGTGCGCACGGTCTCACTGACAGTGATTCCTTCGGCGCCGCGGCCACAGTGATCATGATGTACGGTACGGTCGGGCCCGGCTGGCATGGCAGTGGCGCGGGGGAATTGTCAGTCCTGCGCTTTTCTCTCCTCGCCGTTTGGCCATTGCGACAGGCACGGTCCCCGGGTCACCGTCAGGGTCAAGCCTCCGACTCCTCGACTGTCCATGTAACTTAACTTTGAGTCACAGTAATGAAGAGTTGTGATCGGACTCAGACCCGTTCAACCGTTGAACGGTTCTCACGCGGCCCCGGCGCCGCCGGGTCGGCCCGAACACTGGCCCGCCGTCGGAGCTCGGAGTCCCGGCCGACTGATGGCATGGCTCATGCGCTCGCCCGGCACTGGGCAGCCCCCGCCGCGCCGTCGGCGGTCACTTCCGGGAAAAGGGCTCATGTAGGCCTCTTTCCGGAAAAGGTTACTCAACTTTTTTATAGTACATTTTAATACGTTTTATAACATCTTTGTACCATTACAATGTTTTACATTGCTAAAAGAATTATACATCCTCGTCGTCAGTAAAGCACGTAGAAGTTGGCCCGTGACTCTCGTGTCACGGTTGTCAGCAAGCTCTTACGTTCCGACACAAGATATCCCATATTTTCAAATCTTTCACTTAATATTGAAATATTTCAAAGAATATTTCAGAAATTTCTCGGTATCGTGATCTGGTCCAGGAAGATTGCTGATCTCCAGGTAGGGTTGTAAAATCAAGGGTACATCCATAGGAAGCGACCACTCATTTAGAGGGTGGGGTAGTACCCACAAGGGGTTGAAGAAACGTGGAGTCAGGCCCGGTCAGCAAGATCTTCAGCAAATCCACTACCCCTCCCTGAGTACCCCACCCACCATGTGTTGCCCTCTTCAGGAAAAAAAAATTTAGTACCCCACCCCGTGAACACGTTCTCATTCAACCCGGTACTCATAGCAGTTTAACCTCCAGCAGTGACCACTACCCACCCCTCTACGTTCCTCGAACCCTGGAATGACCGACCCCCACAACCCTCATCCCTCGGATGACTTTACGAGTACCCCTTCATTTACCACCATATACCCCCCTCTGATCAGTACCCTACCCCACTTCCTGATGTGTCGAATTGATCACTCGGTGTTTTCCGACTTTTGCCCCTGTGACCCGATTCACCACCCCACCTTGATCCCAATATCTGTACCACCCCTCATGGCAATTCGACCCCACACGAAAACCACCCACCCCTTCAATTACACGTCTTTCGATCGAAACTGGTATGGTGTACCCACCCAGCCTCCCTTTACTACCCCGTGAATAGCTAAATGTACCCCACCACATGGACCTGGTCTTCTACCCCTCAATACGAATCCTACCACCCACCCCTTTCTCCAACCACCATAGGGTCCTCACACAAACTCCCTGCTCATCGCTTTCCCCTGTTTCTCGCTACCCTCGCATCGTCGCTCATCGACTCTCGCCTCCCTCACCTCCCTCCCTCCTCTCTCCTCCTCCTCTTCTTGCTCAACCACGTTATCCTCGGTCGTTTCACGTCCGTTTGGCCTTCTCCTCTGCCATCTCGTTGCTTTTTTTGCCCTGATCGCAGTTCGGTCTTGTAACGACCGCTGTGGCCCTGGTGCCCTCTCGTCTCCTGCCGCATTCTTTCCCTGTTCAATTCAGAAGTAGCCCTTTTTTCAGTTTACACAGACATCCTTGTGAACAAGGTTTGAGCTCATTCCACCACTCTTGAGAACTTGTGTTCGAATGTTCAAACGTTGACAGTCAACTGGATCAAATTGTGCGTATTTCTCGTCCCTCTGTTCGATCCCAGTCAAAATGCGCTTATCGCTGCTGAATCCCATTTCCCTGTCATCCTCAAATGAGGTGTTCGGTAGGGCCATTCTGTTTGCTGGAGGGGTCATTCTCAGTGGGCTTCTCCCCGACCTCTATCGGGCCATTCGTGACGGCAAATTCAGCGACTTGAAAGAACTCTTCCACATAGATTTCTCTTCACAATTCTACACTTGTGTCTGCAATTCGATCTATAGCAGGGAGATCGTGGAAACAAAATGCATGATTCTGAAAGAAGTCATCAATGCAGCCAAGTCCCTGTCTGATGATGGCGAAAAGCTCGGATACGTGATTAGCAAGGGTACCCAGCTCGAAATTCTTCATACGAATTCCGTTTTCAGGGAACTTCTAGAATGGCCAAAGGAGGAAGACAAGCACCCGAAGGCCATCCACGACATTCTTCCTCTCGAGATTCGCAACTATCATCGAGCATGGGTGCAGCGAGTCAAGAAAACAGGATCTCTACCTGGGTCGCTTATGCACCCTCTCAGAAATATCACCCTCCGAAGGTGTACGGGAAAACCACTTCATGTGAACCTCGTGCTGAGAACTCTAGGTTATGACGTAGACTTGCGTGCTGAAGACTGTGTCATATACGCCATTATCACGTCGACTGGGGCGATTGAAGACGACAGCAGCGATGTCAGAAATGATGATGAGAATGGAATATGGAGTCTTGCTGCAGAAGGCATGTATGGTTCAAATGCTGGTCAGATGGTAGCTTCTGGTCAAGTTCCGGAGCCAGAGGCTTATCCAGTTGCGACAGTTCTCTACCTGGACATCGTGGGGTATACCAAGAGATGTACTGGCATGTCACCCAAGGAGATTGCAGATTGGATGTCGCAAGTGCATGCTGACGTCGAGCAGCTCCTGAGCAAGCACTTCATTCGCAAGATAGAGACTCGGGGTGATTGCTACGTTTGCGTCTCAGGTACCAACACTGTGGATGGAGATCGAGACCAGAACCAGATGAGCAGGATGGTCGCTTTTGCTCTTGACGTTGCCGTCGCTTTGCACACAAATCACGATACACAAATCCGCGTGGGGATAGATATCGGGCCGTTGACCATAACCTATATTGATAGTAACCATTATGCTCCTACTGTCTGTGCATTTGGGGACCCGATGGTCGTTGCAGGGAAGCTAGAGCAGTGTGGGTCCCCAAGCATGATCAGGCTGTCGGAAGTGGCTGCCTTGTACTTGCGCGATGAACATGACTCGCTGGTTGTGGTGGACCATGAGAACAACTCGGTGGACTTTTCCGTCGATCCGTCATGGGAGACTGTATTCGTGAAGGGAGTCGGCGACATCAAGAGCGCTTGGATAGATTGCAGGACTCGACAGTTCGTTTCTTTCGGCAAACAGGAGTTGAATCCCGACACGAAGTCGGAATCGAGTGCTGCCTCACGGGCTGCATCTGAACGGGATATTCTGTCGAGTGCCAATACTCCTGATGAAATGAAGATTGACAATTACAGGATCTCGCCGAATAACTCTGAGGATTTCAGCGGGTTGCTCAATCCAACCAGCCAGAATGATTCATCATTTGACTTCGCTACCCTACCTTCCATAGATAATTCCTACTGAATCCAGAAATATGGACAGCTTGTTAATTCTAGACAGCTTGGCAACGAGCCTCAAAAATCTCAACTGTACTTTTGTAAATGTTTTTTCAGTATGCTACCTGAAAAACTAGAGTATTGTTTTTAGAATGTGCTTGAATAATGAATGGTTTGATGGAAATGCACGGTGGACTTTCTTTGTCATTCACTGATTCGGCAAAGAGTGAAATTTGTTTTAGTCCTCTTTAATCCATGCACATTCATGTGTTTGCAGTTGGATTGAGCTCCTGCTGCTCCTGTACAAGGCGGTGCTGCGCCATGTGAAGAGTTTCTTTCATGTACAAGTCTTTATCATTCAGCCAAAGGAAAATCAACAAAATTGTTACAGCAACTCTTAATTAGGTTGGAATTGGTAGTCTATTCTGCTATCACTAGCAGTCGTCAGGATCTGACATTAGAACGTCAAGGATACCACTGTCAAGATCGCTCAGTCAGGGGTATAACTGAGGAATCGTATCACCGCAGTTGCTCAGAACATGTACACCATCGTGATCTTGGAATCATCCTTGACCTCTTGGGAGGACATACTTCGAGCTCGCCATGAAGCCATCATTGCCCTGCTCTCCCACTCGTGTAGCGCAGCTGAAGTGCTACTGCCTTCGTCACTCTTACTATGTAACTCTCCCTGAGCCGCTGGCTGATCTTCGCTATCCGCCTTGCTTCTTGCCGTACCAAGAAGCTCTTCGAATGCAGCGTCCCATATCCCAGTAAAGTCTATGCTGGGCTCATTATGTTCTGGAGTGTGCTTTCTGAGGTGACCTGTTTCAGCCTTGGGCTTCTCGCTCCAGCTGAAATGAAAGTTGAGCAGCGACGACAATGCTGCCTCAGAGCCTGCATGCTCTCTCGGGCTTATGGTAAGGGTGTCGGTCTTTGACTCTGCGCTGGAATTCGCTCCCTTGTCAAGATGATGATGCCTGTCTGCCGACGGCTTTGCTCTCTTGTCAGGGATGACGCTTTGTGCGTGTAAGTATCGTTTCTCCGACTCGAGCCACTCGCTGACCTTGATGACTGAGTTGTGCTCTTCCGGGGAGAGGTAGTAATTGTTGTGCATGCTTAGCGCTCGAGGAAGGATTCAGGACGACGGGAGGTGTGTGTGTATGAAGGAGATAGATGTGCTTCAGGATGTGTATGAAGGAGGTAGATGTGCTTCAGGATGTGTATGAAGGAGATAGATGTGCTTCAGAGGTTGGTTCAGCAGGAAGATCCCAGGAGGATTCTGCTTGCAGTCAAGGAAGACAAAGACAGGCCCTCTTCCTCTCTTTATATACGTGTGAACCGATAAGGTCGACGGTTATCCTGCATTGGGGGGAGTCTTGAAGAGACCTAAATATTTTCGCTCATTTAGGGGGGTAGGGGTACTGGAAAGAGTGTATACATCTTGAGATACAGCTCTTTTGGTAAAGCTGACCGTCAGCATTTCGGTGAAACGTTGTCTGATCGGAGATAAGGAGGCTCGCCCCTCCTCCCCCGCTCCTATATTCGTTGCAAATCTTTTCGCCGTTGCCATGGATCAGCCTCACTGAGTCAGTACAAGCTGAGCCGCGACCATGACGAGGAGACGAGCAGGAGAAAAATGAAAGCTCTGTCGCCAACAGCTCACTGACCTTGCCTGTGTTCAATGGGCAATCCGATCCGATCGGATCATCGCGGCGAGCCGAGCGACCGTCACGCGGCGGCCCCCGCCACCGCCGCCGGGGCCCGGCCGCGGTTACCGGCGGGCCGGGCGCGGCTGATCATAACCCGGCGGGACCGTGCTAACAGTGTTAGGCTGTGCAGCACCCCCGGGTCACTGAGCGGCCAGGCCGCGGCGGTCCGAGTCACGCTAACTTCAGTGCGGCGGCGGCGGCGCTCAGCTGGAGGTCCGGTTTCCGAACTCGGAGTTCCGAACTGAGGAAGTTCGGAAGTTTGTGCCGAAGTTGACTTGAACAGTGGCCGGCGGCCGGGCCGGGCTGCCGCGTGCGTGACTCTGACCATGCGGCCGGACTCCCGGATCGGACCGTGGGTGTCCGGACACTCGGGCCCCCGGCGGGACACTGACCTAACTCCAAGTCACGAGTCGGCCTGGCCCGGCCCGTGGAGTGTCATGTAACGGTATTAACGGCGTCCAACGAAAGACTTGCCCGCCAACGGAAGTCGAGATGCTGGGATGGGCAGCTGAAGAGGAAGGCAGGCGAGAAGGACAGAGAACTGGAACGACGAGAGAGAAGGGGAGGAAAGCAGGATGACAAGGAAGAGAGGGAGAGGAAGAGGAAGAGGAAGAGGGTAGATGGAGAAGGAAGGGAAGCGATGGTTGGTAGCGCGAAGGAGCCTTGGGCGAAGAGAAAGGAAAAGGTCTGCACCATTTGAAAGTTTCAGGAAAGATACAAAATTTATTGATCTGTCTCTTATATTTGGAAACGCTGATTGATTTCAAACTCCCCAAGTGCAAGAGGTTCTGACTTTCTGCTCTTTCGCTCAGCATCTTCAATGGGTTCACGGGCAAGGAGTGGGCATCTGGCCCCTGATTTTATGATTCTCAACCGACGGAAGGCTGAGGATCAGCGAAGAGTGTTTGACGAGAAGTGTAAATCTGATGCTTCTGTTGAACGGTTCGCGCACTGGGAGCACAAGACCGCAGGGAAGATTGAGAGGAACACGGTCACCAGGAAGGTGGAAACTATGAAGCAGGACATGAAGGAAGAGCTGAATGAGCGGCGATCCAAACTTGCTGCTCTGCTGGCAGAAGAAGATGCAAGATACACTGCGGAGTTGAGTTCGTTTGAAGAGACCCCAGAAATGAGAAGAGATCGGCTGAAAGCTCGGGCACGAGAGTTGATGCGCCGACGAGAGCAGGAGAAGCGCGAGTTTGCTGTGCTCATGAGGGAGCGGCAGGTAACCATCGAAGTTTGGCTCTCCCTGCTTCGGCTGATTGTAATCTCTTCACGTAGTTTCGGGAATCTTGCGACGCTTTTCGTGAGCATGATGGAGAACAATTGCTCCATGAATGCGTGGTACGTGGAGCCAATGATGTGAATGTTTGAATTGTTTGACGTTTGGTTCAAGGTTGCGCGCGAGAGAGCGTTGGAAGAGAAGGAGGAGAACAAGCAGAGGCAAAAAGAAGAGAATGAAATGTGGCATAACAAGCTGCTCGATCTTGTACGCAAATCAGAAGAGAGGGAGATGAACGACAAGAATCGACAGGTTCAACCAAACATTGTCGCTCTTCGGTTCTCTCTTACCTTGTGATCAAGATGGAACTCCGGTCAGAGATGCTTCATACATTGCAAGAACAGGTAGCGATTTGTCTCCTGCTGAGCTTGTGATGTTGATATCTCCTTTAGATCCAGGAGCTACAAGCGAGAAGAGACGAAGACGAGAGGCTGAAGCAAGAAGAAGCAAGACTCATGAGAGAACGATTCGAGCTTGACCTCGCGGAGGCCAAGAGGAAAGAGCATGAACGAGCAGAGATGCAGGCAGAAAAGAAGCTGGCAGTCGCCAGGTACAACCTGTGCAAAGAGGATTTCCTGGTTGCTGAACTGCTTGATGGTAGACACAACGCTCTACTGCGAGCTGAGAAGGACGCAGAAATCAGACGCCAACAGGAAGAAGACTTGAAATTGCTTAATGTAAATGTTCCCTGCTGCTCTCTTGGCCACTTAAGATCTCTTCAGGCCATGCTGGACAAAGAAAGGCGTGCAGAGGAGGCCGAGTTGCAGTACAAGGCGCAGCTGCGTCAGCAAGCCCGGGAGTACCAGGTCAGAGTGTCGGATGGAAGCGACAAGGCTGATGTTTTGTCGACTTCAGGCGCAGCTCATTGAACTTATGAAGAAAGAAGCCGTGGATGAGGCGGCAAGCGAGGCGATCAGAAAGGCAGAGCAAGAGAAGGCCTGGCGCAAACGCGAGGAGGTCCTTGGATGCGTGTCGTGCTAGCAAACTGCTCTGACATCATGGTGCATAGGTGTGGGAGAAAGAGAGGGCGGCACGCGAGAAGTTGATGAAGGAGGTGCTTCAAACGCGTCGTGAACAATTGCAACAAAGAATCGAGCAGAACAGGAGAGAACGAGAGGTGAAAGTCAAATCCTCACACCTCTGTCTTGTTGAGGCTGAGTCTCTCCAGTTCGCTATGGAGGAGAAGGAGCGTATGGTGAGAGAAGTCGACGATATAGAGCAGCAGAACGCGCTGCAGGTGGGACTTGAAGGCTCAAATACTGATAGGCTGACCGTCTGCATGTCTCCAGGCTGAGATCCGCAAGAGGATCGCAAAGGAGCATCAGCGGGACATCCTGACCCAGATCGAGGTGACTTGCTGTATCCCATGTCAACCTGCCTTCACCCGGGTGCCTTCCAGGAAGCCAAGAACGCGATGCGAAGAGAGATGGAGATCGCGGCCCTGGAGCTTGAGGCTTCCCGGAGGGAGGAAGCTGCATACCAGGTCTGTCTCTTCTCTTGCTCCCCTCGCACCTCACGCTCTACGAAGGCAAAACTGGCCAAGGAGATGCTGGTGCAGAAGCCACTGAAGAATCATGGACTAAAGAGCACGGGACTCTTCTAATACTGCATTCGCTCCTACCTCGTTTATGCACTTGAGACATTTGATTGTTTGAGTTGGTTTACATCCCCTTGGAAACAAAGACGAGTCCTTTCCCATCTAGTTGCTCCTCTCCCCTCCTCTCCTCCGCTGCTATGCAATCATCGAACAAGCGCACATGTCGATGCCGTTAGGGTCAGCATTGCTCACGACCTTCTCTTCAACGCATTTCATGTACTTCTCGTAGAACGCTTTCTTGTCTGCGTGACACTCTAGGTATGTGCAAACTCCGTTCCTCTTCGACAGCTTGATCACTGTCATCAGTAACGAAGATCCTACCCCCTTGCCCTGCGCGTCTGGATGCGCCCCTAGCATGTACACGTACCAATGTCTCCCTGCCGCATGTGTACGATGCATCCTCTCCATCATGCGCTGAGCACGCAGCGCTCTTTCCTTGGCAAACTTCCCGTACCTCTTGGTGTTCCGCTCTAGCGGAGGACCTCTTGCCTTCCACCCCAAGTTCATCATGCGCAGCACAGTTAGCACGTTGCCATTCTTGACCGTCCCAGGAGGCATTATGAGGGCGACGCCCAGCAATTTGCCGCTGTCAGCATCTCTATACCCGAGCACGCACCCGTAGTCGAAGCAACAGTTCGTACACCATGTTGCGTACCATCGCGTTCCTTGCACAAACCTCTCACACTCTTGCGGTTTCCCCGTCACATTTTCGGGACCAAAGATCCAGCGGACTTTCCCTTCTCCCGGCGATCGATCAGTCCCAACAAACGCTGCAGTGCAGACCTCTATCACTTCTTGGTAATCGTTCTGAGACAAGAAAGAGATGTGCGTGTCCACACTATCCAGCTCCTTGAGCGTCTTGTTCCATTGCTCAGCACAGCCTTTCTTTCTAGCGCCAAACATCCTGATCAGCATGTCAGAGCACTGAAGCTCAAAGTTGCAAGACGGTCCTTGAGCTGATTCTCCCTCTAGCTCCATCCCTGACCTTCCTCTCCCTCTCTTGTCCTCCTCTTCTCCTGCCTGCTCCCCCCTCCTCCGCCATGTCATGCCATGCCCCAATCCTTCGCTTCCCTGTTTCGCTCTATCGACATGAATTCAGACCCTTCGGAAGGGACGCTTTACGGCAATGTGCATAACCGAACCTCACAGCTAGCAAAAGGACAGAGATTGTAGTTTACCCGTTTTCACCCTTCAAAATTGCTGCCCTCCACCGCATGGATCCGACCATGTGCGCCATGTCGCCCTGCTCCTACTTTCCCCGCCAGCCCCCGCCAGCCCCCGCCCTCCTCTCTCCTCCTCTCTCCTCCTCCTCTCCTCCTCGTTCTCTTCTCTCTCCCTCTCCTCCCTCCCTCTTGTCCCTCTCCCCTCTCCCGCCCTCTTGTTCCCTGCCCCCCTTTTCTATTCGTTCCCATTTTTCGAGGTTACCCCGATTTTTCCTTCACAGACCCTCTCCGCTTCTTTCCCTGTCTCCTGCTGCCTGTTCTCTTCACTGAATACCATCATGAACATTGATTCTCCCTTCAGCAACAAAATGTCCTCGATGAGTCTCCCTCCTTCTCCCGCATGCTCTTGATCGTGTGGAGCCTGTATCTCAGGCTTAATGACGACCTGGTCATGTAATGCCGGACGGATGGCGCGGCTCTGCTGTCTCTAATGGTTTGTGTGCCAACGTCAGGCGCTCTCCACTCCCCTTGAACTCTTGTGGCTAGGATTCGTGCCCTCCCAGAATGTTGTAACTCAAGATCCCTTTTCTGTATCTTTGTCTTCCTGCATGATGAAACATGGATTGAGCGTCGATTCTGAACCTCACACACCCCTTAAACGATAGTATCTGTCTTTCTCAATCCGATAGCATCAAGGATTTTTGAATATCACGCATGACTGAGCTCTTGGTTTTGTACTCCAGGTGCCTGGTGGTAATGTCCTTGCATTAGATGCAGGGCATCATACACGACATGCATGAGGTCGTAGAGCAGGGAGCGCGATCCTGATCCTAGTGGTCTTATGGGATCCGAACAAGGCCTCCTTTGGCTCGCCCTTACTTAGAACGATGAAGTTCAGCCTGTCCGCCGTGCTGATTTTGCTACAATTCTCGGCTCTCCGTTGCAACACGCATCAGGTCAAACCTGCACTCTGTCAGCAGCCTCGCACCTCGACCGGTGACCTGGTGCGGTCGCCTCTGAGGTTGAGAGGAGGGAGTCAGAATGGCGATGTGGGAGTCGGGGAGATCAAATTTCAGAACATCTTGCTGGCCTTGGAAGTGCTCCACAACCCTTCAGAGACAAAGGAGCGGAGGGACGAGGCCCTTTCCCTCTGCCAAGGGGTGAAGGAGCGGAACTCGGAGTGCAGACTTTATGCTGAGAAGCTGATGCTCTTCACTTTGCCCGATCCCGTCCGGCACTTTGGTCTACAGCTCTACGAGCACTTGGTCACAGTGCGCTGGAAACAACTGCCTGCCACGATGCGAGAAGAACTGAAAGTCAACGTAATGACCCTCCTGTACAATGGGACAAAGAGCATCCAGGAAGAATCGAACTACATCAAGGGCAAGATCGTGCAGGTTGTGGTGAAGATCGCGCTGCAAGAGTGGCCGCGCAGTTGGCCGAATCTGCTGTCTGACCTCCACTTGCTCGCTGGTGTCGGGGAGACGCAATGCGAGCTGGCGGTTATGGTGTGGCGAGCGCTACCTGAGGAGTTCATGCTGTCTCCGCTGTCGATCGTGGAACGCAATCAAATGATTCAAACATGGCGGGGGGACTTGGAGAGAGTTGTCTCGTCCCTTCGGCAACTCTTGATTTCAACCTTCACGAGAAGGAGCCTGGTAAGAGAGGAGCGGTGAAGGTGGACTGGGCGCTGAACCTGATCTGCAAAGGACGCTCAGACAATCAGGATGGTGCAGGAGATCGTCCGTTGCATTGAGGTTCAAGTCGGTTTCACGACCTTGCAGATGCTGGCTGAAAAGGAATTCGACTCGCTCCTCCTCCCTCTGCTCGACAACCGCTTCCTACGTGACAGGTAACATAGGCCATGACTGCGACGTGACGATGAGAGTAAGTGACGTCAATTCTGTAGTGTGTTGGACGTTGTATCCGCTCTGATCAACAAGAACAACCGAGGAATCTACTATGACAGTCCGGAGCAAGTCTTCTTGTGGAGCATCATGTGACCCTTTGCTTGTCCCCGTCGCTCGGGCTCATCAGCGGCTGACGCAGGAGGGGGATGATGCGGTCTTGCCACTTTGCGATGCAGGCCAGCAGCGAAGCCGAACCGAAAATGGACGACTATGAGTTTCTGAAGCACATAGCGCAGGTTTCGACCTCTCCCCTCTCCCCTCCACCTCTTGACATGAAGGTCCTCCTGCCAGATTTTCTGCGAATTTGGTGTGAACTTCTGGCCGGTGAATATCGTCTTGACCTCATACGGAGGGAGAGTCTGACATATGGTGGCGGCAGCTGCTGGAGCGGAAGGAGGCAGAGTTCGAGCAGTTCACCAGCGTCATTCTCACCCTCTCGCACGTGAAGAGCCTCAACGTCCTGTCCTTGACACTGTCGTACTGGGGAGCATTCATCGAGAGGAAGAGGAGCGGGGAGAACGCGACGAGCTTGTCCAACAAGGATGAAATGCTGCTGTTCTCCTTCGGCAAGGTAGATGTGCCCGTGAAGTTGAAGATGCTGATGATGGTGTAGATCCTTGAGATCACCGTCGACAACGCGTTTGGGAGTAATGGAATGAGCAAGCTGGACGAGCAGGACTTTGTCGAGGAGGATGAGTTTGTGCAGGTACGAGAAGAAAACCTTTCCTCCCCTCCCCTCTCCTCTCCTCTCCAGAACCTCTTTCTCCTTTCCACAGATCTCCTCTCCTCACCTCTGATCTCAGCTCCCTTCCTCGCTTCCTTCTAGTCACTTCTTACAGGCATGGTTCAACCTTCGATCACGCATCCTCGACTTCGTGCGCAAGATGTCGATCCTCTATCCGAGCCAGCTCTTCCTCTTCACCTCGGAGAACTGGAAGCGGACACTGAGCTTGAGATCAAGCATGCAACAACCAGGTGACAACCTTCATGACGGAGAGCGTCTGACGGATGCTCGTCAGTGGCCTCCCTAGACGGCAAGGCAGATGCATGGTACCGCCTGCTGGAGAAGGTAGTCGAGTCGCTCCCTCAAGATGCGTTGGCGGCAGGTGGAGCAGAAGAGAGGGAGGAGAGACTGGTGCGGCTGAGACGAGGAGCAGACAGCAGTTGCTACAAAATGTGCGCGGAGCTGGTGGAAAGTTTGACCGACGTCATCCCACACGCCATAGAGGCCGTTGTGAGTAGAAGATGGTCAGGTTTGCTACAGCAGGCAAGTGACTTCCTCGCAGACTTGCTCCATCCTCCGGGTCCTCGGCATCTTCCAACAGGTTTGACTTGCAACAACTGCCGTTTCCCTGACCCCGATGCCCTCGTAGCTGTATATCAATGCTCCGGAATCCGTTATCGTCCACGTCACCAAGAAGGCCAGTGGAGGAGGAAAGGAAAACTGTGAGAAGTCATTACAAGCGCAGGTCTTGCAGCTGCTGGCGCTACCGGGCTACGTCGACAATCATTTTGTATGTCATTTAGGTTGCTCATTCACTCGTTGATGTTGTCACGTGCAGATAAAATCCATCACGCTCACAAGTCCAGAAGTCAACTCAGATCAGAACATACAACGAACTGCCCTAGCAGTGCTTGTTAAGATTGGTACTTTTGGTTTCTTGCTCTGGGAGTGCAATAACAACATTCTCGTTTTTCTTCTCCTCAAGGCACTCATTGTGCATCTAAGGTAACGAGTCTGTTCATGACGCTGTTTCCTGAAACTTGATTTCCCCAGCTCACTCCACACCTGCAAAGTCTGATTGAAGCAGTTCAAGGCCTGGCAGAACAAATAGAGTCAGAAGGACAGGTGACATCGATGCCTTTCAAACTTTTCTGCCTGTCTGTGATGAATCATCAACAGGGACATCTGATTGAGTTCTTGCTTCTCGTCACTACTCAACTTGACTCGCCGTATGAAAAGTCAACCATCATGGGTCTGTTTCACATTTCATCACATTACACCACATCATATCACATGACACCACATTTCATCACATCACATCACATCGTTCAGTGTTTCGTGATCACTCTTTCTTCTCCACCTCCATTCCTCTCCTTTCCACTTATCTCTTCTTCTTCGTCTCTGCCTCACATCTGAGCACTTTCGCAGGACACCTTCTGGGCCCTCTCGTCCAAGAGTGGGAAACCCTCACTAGTTTACAGGTATACTGTTGGTTATTCCAGCAGCTTCGCACCCTCAATGACTTTCCCCGCAGGATTATTCCCAAAACTTCCTCTCGTTGTGCTTCGAGGCTGAGGCAACTACACTGACCGAACTCGTTGGACGTGTCTCATTACCCCCTGCAGGTATCAGAACAGTGCGCAAGACCCAAATATATCGAGGAGGAGAAGAGAAGATTGAGGGTATTGCACGCCTGTCCTGTCCTGTCCTGCCCTGCCCTGCCCTGCTCTGCCCTGCCCTGCCCTGCCCTGCCCTGCCCTGCCCTGTCCTTTCATCTCATCTCGCTGCAGATTCATGCGATACTGCACACCTTCAACCTCATCCTCAGACGATTGGTAGAGAGCGAAGGGCACTTCGCCTATCGAGCAGAGGAGGCAGCCAAGTCTGCAAACATCGAAGAGAAGGAGACTCTCCTGATGACAAGGCTCATGTCCCCTTACATCTGGCGCTTGCTCCCGAACCTCATGCTCGCCATACAAGGTCCCTCATAGTTGCTGACTGCCTGTCTTTGCCGCTCTTTTCCCTTTTCGCTCACTCCTCTCCTTCCCTCCCTCCCTCCCTCCCTCCCTCCCTCCCTCCCTCCCTCCCTCCCTCCCTCCCTCCTCTCGTTCTCAATTAATCTCCAGGCCTCCACAATTTGTGGGCACCGGAGCTGAGGAGCAAGGTGCTGAGCATGTGGAAGGGAATCTACTTCCCCCTCGAGCTCCTCGTGTCTGTCGATCCCAACTACAAGAATCGAGAGAGCCATTGCGGCACGACCGTCGTAAGCTACGTGAGAGTCTCCTAGCAGCTTCTCCTGCTCAATGACGTCATCACCTGCAGCTGTGTGGGTGGATCAGGATGCAGAGGGACTTGCTGTACGAGATTCTGATGAATATCCTCTACCTCGGCGCTGTGACTGGAATCCACGAGCACCTTGCTGGCGACGTCAGCATCTTGCAGCAAGTGAGTGTTCTTGCCTTGCTGCAAAACGTCAGCAGCCGTTGACTTTTGATCCGATCTCAAGGCATTTCACAACTCAATCAACATAGAGAACCGACACATAAGGTCTCTGGTGAGATCCGTCCTGTTGCCCATCCTCAAGAGCTGCAATTCGAGGTACCTCGAAAGGATCTTGGTAAATCTCTTGTATCGGAGGGTTTCAACTGAAGTTTGTGAACTCACATCAGAGTCCCATCCTCCCTCCTCTACTCAACCATTTCCTGCATCGTCTCAGCACGGCAAGTCCCGTGGTTTGACGTCAAGGGCATGAGTTGACGGCTGTTCGCAGGGTTACGAGGCAATCGTCTACGAGAAACCAGCAGAACAGTTCATGGATGATGACGTTGTGATGCGGGTCTTCGGAGAAGAGATGATTTACGTCGTTCGAGAAAACTCGCTACGGCATCTACACCGAGACATCTGCGACTTGGCGTTGACGATCTGCAACATGGCCATGCAAAGTGCGATGCTCGAGACAGGAGGAGGAGTGGAAAGCTCCAGCTCCAGCGTCCCAGCAGCAGAAGTTGTCTTGCGGATGCATGGCGCCATGGCGGTACTGCTGAACATCCTGTCGAATAGTCTGGTATGCCAACGTGGTCAGTCAGGATGTGCCGCAAAACTGATCACGAGGGAGTAGGTGTGGGAAGACAGTATGGCAGGTCTGAAAGCCATCGAAGCTCTTCAGAGGATGATGCCGAAGCTCAGCGACAATGCCAAGTGCTTCTGATCGATCCCACAGCCTCTGAGACTGCTAACGGCCTTGTCGCTTCAGGTACCGCGACTTCTACGTGAAACAGTGTCTTCAACAGGCGCTGCACTGCCTGAAGAAGTACACGTGCCGTAGAGCGCAGGAGAAAGGAGGCATCACGTTGATAGAGGGGAAAGATGACGGAAACACGTTGGGCCCGCTGCTCGCACTGATCACCGACATTTATGTCAGTTCTTCGGGGAATCCAGCAGTACATGAGGTGATCCAAACAAGCGCGTGAACATCACTGAACCCACAACCTTGCGCAGCCCTTCATGGTTGAGCTTGGGATGAATAGCGCGGATGTGATACTGTTCGATGTGTGCCGTTTCCCTATGACAGTCCTCGACAGGTTCAGGAGCTTCACTTTCTGGTCTGTGAACAAGTGAGAAGTTTTTTTCTGTCATTTTGATTTGTGACTCACGAATGTTCAGGCGAGGAACGAGAAGCAGAAACGACTGCAGATGCGCGGTGAGCCAGCCTCCTGTCGGTGATGCTTCTCGCCCCTGACTTCACCTCCGACGCAGCCAAACTCCTCAAGTACATCGAGCAGAATCTCCCGAAATTCAGATCCACGAGATGATTGTGTGTCGAGGCCGACTGTATCCTCCTCCCTTCCTCCTCACCCTCCCTTCTCTCGACTCACTCTCTCACTCCCTCATCTCCCCTCTCCTCTGCTCTTCCTCCCTCCCTCCCTCCCTCCCTCCCTCCCTCCTTCCCTCCCTTCCTCCCTCCTGCTTGTACTTGTCAATCCTTGTCAAATTCTCCTACCCCACCCACCCCTTCATTCATCACTCATATAAAACCCACCCCTCAAATGTCTTTGTGAGATAAAACTCCGAAAATACCCCTGCACTTACACCTGCACATTCCCTACCCCACATGTTATTATTACCACCGGTACCATTATAGGTTGAAATCAAGGAAAATACGGGTTGGCTTGACAACCCCACCCCTATTTTTAATGACCCCACCCCCACGGAAGTATAAAGTACCCACCATACCTTTCGGGATCCAGTGAATCCAACTGACCATGTAGGTCTACATAGGACGAGGATTTACTAATTGAAGCCCTAATACAAAATGAGAAAGTATCCTACTCCTGGGGTCAAGATTTGGACTTGTGAGCTAGAAGGTGGGGGGGGGAACGGGGGGGTGAGGAACAGAATTGGACGAAAAATGGGAGCGCAAGGATCCGTGTGCTGTGGGCCACCGGAGTTGAAGGAGGAGAGGAGGAGAGGAGGAGAGGAGAGGCAAGAGGCAGGATGGACTGATGTGCTCGAGACGAAGAGGCAAGTGGGAAGAGGAACTACTGTGAGGACTGGAGCCAGCATTCCTGTCTCGCTGGCTCCTTCGAGGAGGAGGTCAAATCTGAGGTCAGACAAGAACTTCTTCTTGATTTTCGTTTCCTTGCTTCCCTTCCTTCCTATCATCCCTTTCTCCTCCTTGTCTTTCTTCTCCTTGCTTTTCTGCTTCCCCTTGCTCCGATTCTTCTGCATGTCTACATTTGCGGCCTCTTTGCTGACATATTGCTAGATATCCGCGTTTGACTGCGATGGAGGCTACCAATGACTCGCGATTTCATGCCATTGAGGCCAGCAACAATCCTCCGTCAAGGAAAATGTCGACAGGGAGCGATACGAGTCAAATGTCAATCCAGTCTTCCAGGTCTTCGTCGTCGCTCCTCTTGACCCAGAGGAAGGCAGTCAATGACATGACTCCGGCTGAGCACGCGTTCACCATCTTGCATCAAGTCCAAGTGCAACATGGCATCGAGTCGTTCGCCAAGGTCCATGAGGTGACGATGCTGCTGTCGGTAGAGGTGTGAAGGTAGCTGATCGAAGCTTTCTTGCAGTCTCCGAGTGCGATTGTTGAAAACAAAGAGTATGCAAAAGTTCGATTCGAGGACAACAGATAGGACTTGGAGGAGTGCTGCTGTTTATACTGAGCATCTCATCTCAGACTGCGGTCTGTTTGTATCTCTTGCCTGCTCCTCTTCCTCGCTGCCTCTTTCAAACATGTCAACCAGCTCTGATTCACTTAAAACTTGTTCATTATCTGCTGCTAGAGTTCCACACAAAATATACAGATGAAACAAAAACTGAAGGAACGGAAAGAATACAACATGGCTAATATTACATCCGCTGTAAGCTGATCGTAGTCTTCTCGGCTACTGTCACTTCCTGCCTGTTCAGAGGGGAGAGCAGTGCAAGCTTTCGCCTCCTGTGCGTCAACCAGAACCGGACCTGCTGGAGGGTCAGCTGGGGAGGACAGGCGAGCAGCGACTCACGAAGCTCTTGATGCGAGCAAGGAGAGCAGAGTCCTGCTTGAACTTCTGCCTGTGTGCCTTCGTGTCGTCGTCTCCCTGTGTCACCTTGCGGCCAAGTCAGCTGCTGGGCAAGGCGAGGGCAAGAAAACCATGTGGGGCAGCAGCCAGCTCCGCATGATTGATCCCGGCACAAGATGTCTTGACAGGTACTCCCTCGCAGACCTTCACGCCATCAGTGGCTCCTCGCCTCCTCCCTCCTCCCTCCTCCCTTCTCTGCCTCGTCCTTTCTCGTCCTCCCTGCTCTCGCTCATGCTCACCTCGCTCCGCTCGCGTAAAGTTTGGCCTGCATGGCATGGTCGAGGCGGAAGGTTGAGATGGGAATCTCAGGGGCCTGGACCCACAGCACTCTAGAGTCAGTCTTGTACTGTTCCTGTAGGAAACGATCAGAACATGGGAGGGAGGAAAGAGTGAATTGCCTTCTGCTGCCTCTGCAACGTGTAGAGGATAAGATCTCCCACCCTCACGCAGTAACTTTGTAGGGTACGAGGAGCAGCCTGATGATAACGAAGAGGGAAAAAGTCAGGAAGGGGGGAGAAGAAGGAAAGGGGCGCAAGAGCGCAGAAGCAGGAGGAGGAGGAGGAGGAGGAGGAGCAGCAGCAGCAGCAGCAGGCACAATTAGCATGAGAGCAAAAGTTCCTTTACCTGCTGCGGATCTCGACCAGTCGCTATCCAGAACGCGAGGGTCTTCTGGTTCTCAAGGGTTGCTGACCTGCTCCTCGTGCTGTTGTCGTCCTCGTCGAAGCACCAGACAGGGCAGTTGTCGATCACCGCTCCATCCACCAGCCTGTCTCCCTCCTTCGTCCAGACCTGCCGACATCACGTCATCGCCTCCTTCCTCCGTTTGGCTGCCTCACAGCGTCGAAGAGGAAGGGAACGCTCATGGAGCACCTCGCTGCCATGGCCACCTGAAGGGAGTCAGAGGGATGAAGTAGACGGAGGAGAGGAGATGGGAGGAGGAGATGGGAGGAGGAGATGGGAGGAGGAGATGGGAGGAGGAGATGGGAGGAGGAGATGGGAGGAGGAGATGGGAGGAGGAGATGGGAGGAGGATATGGGAGGAGGAGATGGGAGGAGATGGGAGGAGGAGGAGGAGGAAGCCACTGCACCTGATCGTTGGGAGTCCTGCTCGCAGAAAACTCGATCAGGTCGCCACTTCGCAGGGAAGTCGCAAAAATCTTGAGGAGTATTCCCTGCGAACGAATGGCGAGGCATGAGCCCAACAACGACAACTCGACAGATAGCGATCAGATGAAGAGGAGGAGGAGGAGGAGGAGGAAGGAGTTTGAGGAGAGGATGAACGAGAGCAGCCCGTTATCGTTGACGATGAGAAAGGCTACGATAACAGGGGTAGGGGGAACGGTTTCCACAGCTCACAGTGTGGTCATAGAGCTGCTTGAAAGTAGCCCCGGACAAGCCCGTGTAGCGATGGATGATCTCATCTACCTAGAGAACTAGCCGTCAGCTTACATCCCTCGGACCTCCTTACCATGGCCTACTTTCTGCGCGAGAATCTCTCCATTGACAGCGCCGAAGTCGTTGAGCAAGCTGCAGGAGGTCGAGTCAGAGACTTCGGCAGGGCCTTCGCTGCTGACCGCGAAAGCGTCGAGGGCGTCTGAAGGATCGCAGTCGCTCGTTCAGTCTCGTCTGCGATATCTTCCCAGCACATCTGAATCAGCCAAGAGGCAATAAGTTCAAACTTCCATCCTACCGGTAAAATCGAAGGACAGTGCCGTCTCCTTCACGTCCTGCACGGAACAGCCGCAGGCGATCGCTACGGCCACCACACTGCCTCCTGACACTCCAGCAACTCTCTTGACCCATCGCAAGTCACTCCCCTTCTGACGAACCACCATGTCAGTCATGCCCTTGCTCCTGCTCCTGCTTGTCCTACAAAATCACCCTCCTCCTCCTCCTCCTCCTCCTCCTCCTCCTCCTCCTCCTCCTCCTCCTCCTCCTCCTCCTCCTCCTCCTCCTCCTCCTCCTGATGCTCCTTCATAAACTCTCTACCTGATCTCCGAAGCAGTTGGCGATCACAGCAAGAGCAGGGGGGAAGGCCAAGACCTGCATACGAGTCAGGAGAGGAGAAGAAAGAGGGACGAGACGGGGGACCTTGACGCCTCCTCCGCTGAAGACGAGGTTCTCCCACTGAGGAGTTGACATGCGATGTTTGCGCGAACGCCAGAGGTGGAAGGAGGAAGAGGAGGATTCTTCCTGCTCGTTGACAGCGAAGACGTTGACAGGAAGGAAGGAGGAAACAGGCTGGGGGATCCTTGAGACAATACAGGGAGCGCGGAAGGAGGGGACTGTTCTGCGGAGGAAGTCAAGGTAGGACCAGTCAACCGGTCGCTGAGGCGGGTCTTCGTCCTCCTCCCTGTTGGCTCGGTCGGTGAAGGAGAGGAGAGACGGAAAAGAGCCAACGACTTTGACCAGCCGTCTGACCATGTCCCAGTCCAGGCATGACGTCACCTGCTCCCTCCCGGCGGCCAGGTGCATCTGACTCTCCATGATGGTCACCCTCCGCTGCCTCTCCTTCTCCTCGTTCTGCCAGGTCTGGGAGGAGGTCAGCGCCTGCAGCCATTCGTCGCGCTCCTTCATGGTGTCGAAGAGCAGAAAGGACCTCCTGTCCTTCTCCATCACGATCTCGATGCTCTTCCCAGCTCTCTTCTTGTCACAGGGAGCGATCCTGACAACCTCAAGGTCCCACTCCTCCACAGGCTTCTTCCCGCTCGTGAACTCTCGCTCGCTGCCGTACCCAATCAGGTTGTTGTCCACCAGCGCCAGGTACCTCGACTCCCATATCTTCATCTTCTTGATGCCCCAAGTCGCCTGCCGCATCGCGAACCCGTACTTGGTGAACGGGTTGTGCTTCAGAGAGAGCAGCCTCTCTACTCTCGGGACGCCCTGTACCAAGAACCGCTGCACGTCGACAAGCTCTGGAGTGCAGAAGTCATGGGCCATGAACGCGTACTCCTTGTACTCCACGTTCAGCCCGAAGCTCGTCAGCCTCATGCTGGCCTCCTTCCCCTCCTTGCAAGGAACGATCGAATCCCCCAGCCCATGGCACACCAGCGTCGGCGTGCGACGGGAGGTCGGGGAGAGCGTCAGCCCTTGAATGCTGAACCCATCGCTGAGTCCTGCTAGGAACTTGGGGAACCAGGAGCTGAGGACGACCAGCCCTCCCACCTGCTGCCGGCAGGTCAAGGCCGCGAGCATGGCAACGATTCCCCCATGCCCGAACCCAACCAGACAGATCCTCTTGGAAGGAACTCCTCCTTTGCCGCTGCCAGGCGGTCAGAGCGGAACGAGCGAGCGGACTGGGCGATGGAAGGGGAAGAGGAGGAGAGTAACTTACGAGGTCTGCTCGCGGATCAGGCGATGGACCAACGTCACGCTCCTCTGCAGACCCTCCACCTGGCATGCAGGTGAGACTCTGCTGGGTCCGTGCTGCTCCTTACCTCCCCCAGATGGTCGAACTTGAGGTCGCCTTCGAACCACCTGCCTTCCTGCGACTTTCCTCCCTTCCTCTGATCCTCCTGCGGCTGAGGAGCATGAGGGAAGATGAAGCGACACCTTGAGAGGTGAGCGCATGTCAACTTCATGTCAACGGCTTGTCAAGGCAAACTACCAAGGGACGTCCAGAGCACAGGGCAAGTCGCCGTCAACAAAATCTTGAGCTTCGTGACCCTGCACACGCGTCACGCTGATGAGAAAGGAGGACTCGGAGTCTTCTTCACCATCCCATGCAGCCAGATGATCGTTCCAGTATGCTCCTCCTGCGGATCCACCTGTTTGCTACCTCAACATGTTGAAGTGAACAATCGACCTTAGCCTCTCACCACTGTCACTCTCAGCGTGTCATTCTCCCCCAGAGTGTCTGCCATGGGCACGTGGGAACGCGCAGGAGAGCCCTTGAACAGATCATCAGCACATCACCGCCTCTGCGGCACAAGACATGCTACTCACTTCCTGCACGTCCGACCTCGGAGACGACTGCGACCGGGAGTCTTGCTCGGGGCTTCGAAGTAGATCTCTGCCGTCGAGGGTTCAGCGATCCCTCGGAGGAAGAGGACTTGAAGGAGACTCACCGTGAGTCAGGAGGAGGAGACGGAGAAAAGCTCCTGCTGGTGTAGGGCTGGGCCGAGAAAGAGGCGTTGCTAACGTTTCCCAGGATGGCAGTGCTTGAGAGGTTGGGAGACAGGAAGGAAACATTCTCCTGGACCAGCTCGTTCGCACTCGTTAGATTCAAAGTTGTCTTCTGAGGACTGCGGAGTATCCAACTCCTCGCTCCTCCTCGCAATGCGAGCTTGCTGAACTGTGCCGAGACTCCGCCCTGATCCTGCCGCAGCCCCAGAGCACTCCAACTGCCCTCTCCAACTTCACCGAAGACGCTCCTGTCGCTTGTAGGGATGCAGCTGCCTTTCAGCTCAAGGAAGAGGATCAGAGTCAAGGCATGATAGTGAGAAAGCCTCATGTTCGATCATTCGATGCCTGCTCGATGTTGGTCAAGCATGCATGCGGGAAGGAGCGCCTGCCAGGCGAATGGTAGTCAGGTAGGGGAATGATCCGCACTGAAGAGCTGAAACATGATGGGAGGTAGAAGAGCAGGACTTAGTCAGGAGGTTTTTGTAGGAGGGACCACGACCAAAGAACGATCCATGAGGAGGGGAGGGCAGGAGGAGCGCAAAGAACGGAAGAAAATAGGGATTAAGGTTTGAGGAGAAGATTTGAGATGGAAAAGAAGGTTGTTGGGAGAAAAGGAAACAAGCGGCTC